AAAATTTAACAAGTTTTTTTAATTTTTTTGTGATGAACAAGGAGGGGAAAAAAACTAAGGCCCCACAAACGCCGTGCTCATCAGGCTTATCACCACGGAATGCGGACGCGCGTCAGCTCTGCTGTGGGCATTTCTATTCTCTCCTATCAATCCAATTCATTTTGCAACGTCAAAATAATGGCCAGCGCCCGCACACGCTTTACTTTATGTACACACAGTTGGCTGACCACGACATACCTCGTCTCATGTGGATGGAGGCACACACGGCCCTTCCCTCCCTCCCTCCCCCCTCTCAACCTCTGATTCTAAACCTCAATCTCTTTGGTGGCTATACCCAACATCTTCGCCGTCCTTCTCCCCATTATACTTGATTTATTTAATTTAAGTTGATTAAAAAAATTAATTAAGTTAGTTACTTATAATAAATAAGTATTATTTTTTTAAAAATATTTTTACTAATCAAATATATTGGTTAGAACTACTATTATTATAAGAATTATAATAAAAAAAATAAAAAATAAATATAACAGACAAAATGAATTAGGATATTATATTTAAAATTAAAATAAAGAAAAGTTAATATAATCACTGTACAAAGAGGTGTGGTCGTCCACTGATTTGCAGCAGACCAAAAGAATGAAAAATCAGCCTCACATGTGAACGGTCATTACTTATCCTTATCCCTGTTACCCGCAAATGTACAGATATCCTATTTTCTATTTTTCTCCGACGCTAATTCTAAAGCACACTCTCTTTCATGGCTATACCCAATGTCTTCACCTCCCTTCTCTTGCTTCCTCTTCATTTGGTTTTACTTTGAGTTTTTTTATTACAATATTATATTTGAAACAAAAATATAGGATATTATATTTATGACTAAAATAAAAATCAAACAAACTCTTTTATTAAAGATATTAAAAATAAGAGGTGTAGTATTTTTTTTTTTATGATGAAGAAGAAGGAAAAAGGGGGCCTAAGGTCCCACAAACGCCGTGCTGATCAGGCTGATGGCTACAAAATGCAGACGCGTGTCAGCTCTGCTGTGAGCATTTCTATTCTCTCCTATTAATCCAAGTCATTTTTCAACGTCAAAATAACGACCAACGCCTCACACACACTTTATAAACCAATCCCAACGTGGTTTCTGGCCAACATATATTCACACAGTTGGCTTGCTACGTTGCACCTCGTCTCATGTTGATTGACGGACAAACGCCCCCCCTCCCTCTCTCTTCTCCTAACTTCTGATTCCAAAGCTCACTCTCTTTCATGGCTATACCCAATATCTTCACCGTCCTTCTCTTGCTTCCTCTTCATTTGGCTTTTGGAAACTCAACTTTGAATTTGACTCTCTACGCCAGTGATCAAAACTCTTCATGGCTCTCACCGTCCAAAGAATTTGCTTTTGGATTTCACCCAATCAACAACAACACAAGCTCTTCTTGCTTGCCATCTGGTTCGACAAAATACCTGCCAAGACCATTGTCTGGAGTGCAGACATCGCAGATCCAATACCACTGGGATCGAGGGTTCACCTCACATCAACGGGTCTCACACTTACTAACCCCCAAGGTCAGTGATGTGGGCAACCAAACCAGAAGAAGATGTGTCCTACGGAGCAATGCTTGATACCGGAAATTTTGTTCTGGCATCCTCCAATTCTTATTTGTGGCAAAGTTTGAACAATCCTATTAACACGCTCTTACCTGCACAAACTTTGGATGTGAACAGTAAGTTATCTTCTCGATTGTCGTCGGTCAATTACACAAAGGGAAGATTTGAGCTTTATTTTGATAGTGGAAATCTCTCCTTAAGTCAAATTGGGTGGCCATCTGAATCTCATTACGACAAATATTTGAGTATTCGCACGAGTTCTAATGACTCTACCTCACAACTAGTCTTCAATTCGTCGGGATATATTTATGTGAAGACAAAGAGTGGAGATCAAATAGCTCTTGGGTTGAGTAATTCCAGTCTTTCTGTTGGAAGATATTATTACAGGGCTACACTTGATCCTTATGGAGTCTTCTCGATGTATTCCCATCCCAAGGGACCCAATGAAGATCAAGTTTGGTCAATTGAGTGGTACGTTCCTGATAACATTTGTACTGCAATATCTAGTGATTTGGGTGGTGGTTGTTGTGGCTATAATAGCTACTGCCCTTGGGATGACAACAACAAGAGACCAAATTGCACCTGTCCAAAAGGATATTTCTTGGTAGATCCAAATGACAAATTCGGAGGATGCCAACCTGGTTTCTCCCTTGGTTGTGGAGCTGATGATGCTCGATCACGAGAAAATCCAGAAGAGGTATACCGCATGGAGCCTTTGCAAAGTGTGAATTGGCCTCTTGGAGATTATGAAAGGTTGATCAATTTTACCCAGGATGAATGTATAAAATCTTGCTTGCATGATTGTAATTGTGCAATTGCTATCACTGGAGAGGATTGTTGGAAGAAAAATTTACCCCTTTCTAACAGAAGATTATCTCTAAGTAAGGTTGAAACAATAGCATTCTTGAAAATAAGAAGTCAACCACTGGGTAATCTTAATCCTTCTCTGCAAAAGGAATATCGGGTCCAACCTGCTTTGTTGGGGTCCCTTATTGGCTCCCTTGTTCTTAGTACTCTATTGGCAGCCGCTTTGGTTTCCATATTCTCTTAAAGCCCAAAAAGACTACTCGTGTTACAAGCCTTGTCGAAACAAATATGCATTCTTTCTCATACAAAGCACTGAAGGAGGCAACAAATGAGTTCAACGAAGAAGTAGGAAGAGGTTCCTTTGGCATTGTGTACAAAGGCGTCCTCAGATCAGTAACAAAAACTGTTGTCGCAGTGAAAAGATTGGATAGATTGTCTCAAGAACGAGAAAAGGAATTTAGGAATGAGTTGAGAGCCATTGGAAACACATGCCACAAAAATCTGGTTCGGCTGATTGGGTTTTGTGAAGAGGGAGTTTATAGACTTTTGGTGTACGAGTTCATGAGCAATGGTACTCTCGCCGATATTATCTTTGGAAAATCCAACCCGACTGGAATTTAAGGGTTAACTTTGCTTTGGGAATTGCAAGAGGTTTGCTTTACTTACATGAAGAGTGCGACACTCCTGTCATCCATTGCGATATTAAACCTCAAAATATACTGATAGATGCACATCTGAGGGCAAAAATCTCAGATTTTGGGCTAGCCAAGTTGTTATCTTTCGATCAGAGTCAAACCAAGACAATGATAAGAGGAACTTGAGGATATGTAGCACCAGAATGGTTCAAAAATGTTCCTGTAACTCCCAAGGTTGATGTCTACAGCTATGGCGTGATGCTGCTAGAGATAATTTGTTGCAGAAGAAGTGTGGAAATGGATATGGATAAAGGGGAGGAAGGAGAGGCAATACTGACAGACTGGGCTTATGATTGCTATGCGGAGGGAAGAATAGACATTCTCGTAAAGAACGTTGAGGAGGCCATGGCCGACAGAAGGTTGAAGAAGTGGGTGATGATAGCGCTGTTGTGCATCCAAAGAATCCTGAAGTGAGGCCTACCATGCAGACAGTGACGCAAAAGTTAAAAGGCGTCGTTGACATTCCGAATCCGCCGCCGCCTTCATTCTACACACACGTTTGAGTGTCGCAACGATGGAAGCCGTACGTGGTTTTATGGCAGTCATTATTACCTTAAATAAACTGCCCACGTTGGTTATCATTATACTACGTACTATGTTGTTCATAATGGTCGTAACTGCGCATACTATTTTCTTTTGTAGTCTTTGCACTTAACTATGTCTTAATTAGGATGGTTTTATGGTCTATATTCTGCAGCCACACCCTGGTTGACGAACTTGAGCCGAAGTCTTGAGGAGATATAGGCTCTCATGATTTGAAGGAGACGAGATATAATGATTTGATATTACCTAATTTTGACTTGAAAAGAATACACATCACAAACTTGCATCGAAGAGAAGAAATAAGAAATATATTGTGCTGCTACACAGCTATGTGCGCGTGACTTTTGTTTTTTTTCCTTTTCTTTTTGTGTTCTTTTTATGTTAATGAAGCAAAAATTAATAAGCGGAAAGTAGTCCCCAGATTTAGAATTTTTTTATTTTAAAAAATAGATATTTAGACTTGAATTTTGAAAGAAAGACTTGTGTGTATCTGCAACACTATTAAATAGAGATTATAGATATGCATATTGAGTACTACCTCTCTACACATCCCCTCACAAGTAACAATTTAAAAATTATAAAAAAAAAATAAAAGAAGACTCCTTGAAGTTTGATGATTATGATGTAAAGAGATAGTATAAAAAATGATAGTAGAGAATCAAGATCTGATTCCTTCATACATACAGAAGTACTAACATGTTGATTTAATAGATGCCCGATTTTTCTCACGCAGTACATGTCAAAATTAATCAAATAAAAATATTATTCACTGTAATTTAATATTTACCAATAAAATAATTCGAATTGATATAAGTTTCTATAATCCTTAGAGCAATGAAAAAAACTTTATTTAAGACCGTATCTTACTTATGAGTAGAGTTAAAAAAAATTGCTGTTTTCTCTATTGTTTTGTTTTATTTTTATATTATCATTATTAATTGATATTTACTACTGCTACTCTTCTCTTTGATGAACTGCTGATGGAGGTGGATGCAATATTAATTACAAATTGAATGAAGCCCGCTTGCTGTTGCTTTATGTGCTGACCAGTGAATGTGGCCCTCATGCTTTAACATAAATGCTTGATGTCGAGGTCCAAAAGAAAGGAAAACCTTTTGCATACGCAGGTTCATTCCAGATTCTGGTCAATTTAGTTTGTCTATGTTTCCATCGCGAAGAGATTTAAATGATTACAGCATGTTCTATCAGAAAAAATCATGCCAAAAAAAATTAATCTAAGCAAACAATGGCACTAGTGTTTGTTCACTAATAAAAAAATAGGAGATACAAAACAATAAAAAATTAACTATATGAAGAATAAAAAAAATCCCAAAAAATATATTTGTTGGAAAGATTTTAATGTTAACACTCTTGATCCGACAGATATTAGTTTCAAGCCGGCTTGAATCATACCAAATAGAAGAATGAAGGTTGAGTAAAGATGGCAATTTGTTTGCTGTTAAAATGCCTGAGAATCAAATCAGGGTTGAGGTGAAGGAGGAAGGTAATGGAGGATTTGGCACTTCAATAAGGCCTTCCAACATTTGCATTACAGTCTTCATGGTGGGCCGTGCTTCATGCTTCTCTTGAACGCACCATATTGCTATCATCACCCACTTCTTCAACCTCCCTATGTCAGCTATGGCTTCCTGATCATTCTCTACCAAAATATCTATTCTCCCTTCGGCGTAGCAATCACAGGCCCAGTCTATTAGCACTGCCTTTTCTTCCTCCCCTTCATCCATGTCCATCATCACATTTCTTCTGCAGCAAATTATCTCTAACAGCATCACACCGTAGCTATAAACATCCACTTTAGATGTCACTGGAACTTTCAGCTCAAAAAAAAAAAAAGATGTCACTGGAACTCTCTTGAACCATTCTGGTGCTACATACCCTCTTGTTCCTCTTATCATTGTATGAGTTCGGCTTTGATTGGAGTGTAACAACTTGGCCAACCCAAAGTCTGAGATTTTTGGTATGAAGTGTTCATCAATCAGTATATTCTGAGGCTTTATATCACAATGAATGATGGGGGTGTCACATTCTTCATGTAAGTAAAGCAATCCTCTTGCGATTCCCAAAGCAAAGTTGACCCTTAAATTCCAAATGGGTTTAAGTCCACCAAAAAGGATGTCTGCGAGTGTTCCATTGCTCATGAACTCATACACCAGAAGTCTGTGGACTCCCTCATCACAAAAACCAATTAACCGTACCAAATTTTTGTGGCATGTTTTTCCAATAGCACTCAGCTCTGTCCTAAACTCCTTCTCTCGTTCTTGAGCCAATCTGTCTAACCTCTTCACCGCAACAACGTTATTATTATTGGTTCCTGATTTAAGGGTGCCTTTGTACACAATGCCAAAGGAACCCCTTCCTAACTCTTCACTGAATTCAAGAGTTGCCTCTTTCAATGCTTCATATGTGAAAGAGTGCAAATTTATATCAAGAGCACTTGAAACTTGGACAACCTTTTTTGGCCTTGACCGAATAATCATAACCACAATGGCGACAAGCAAGGTGTTAGTGACCAGAGAACCAATAAGCGAACCTAAAAGAGCCGGTTCTATTTTCTCAACTTGGTGAAGATTGCTCCGTGGTAAAATTCTAGTTTTGATAAGTGCCGTTTGACCTCTATCCACATTTCCTCTTCCATTAGAAAGGGGTAGTCTTTTCTTCCAACAAGTGGCATTATTGTCAAAAATGGCAACAGCACAGTTACAATCATACCAGCAAGATGTTTGGCATTCATCTTGGGTATAATTGTACAATCTTTCATAGTCTCCCAAAGGCCAATCTACATTTTGCAAAGTCTTCATCTCATACACCTCTTCTGGATTGGTTTTTGATTCTACATCATCAGCCCCGCAACCAAGTGAGACATCAGGTTGGCATCCTCCAAACAAGTTGTTTGGATCAACCAGGGAGTACCCATCTAGGCATTTACAGGTTGGCCTCTGATTTTCCATTAAACAATAGCTGTTATACCCACAAGCACCACCCCCATATTCACTTCGTATGCTCCCGCAAATGTCTTCCGGAACATAGTCCACAATGGACCAAACTTGGTTGCTGCCAGATCCCTTCTGGTAAGAATATAACGTAAACACTCCATAATAATCAAGTGTGGCCCTGTAATAAAATCTGTTCACATCCAGAGTTGAGTCAGACCATGCAGACCCAAGGGGTATATGATATCCACCTTTGGTCTCTACATAAACATCTGATCTATCAAAGACTAGCCGTAAAGCAGAGTCATTAACATTGGTTGCTGAACTCGTCTCGACATTAAAGTAACTAGTGTAACGAGATTCAGTTGGCCATCCCGTCTGACTTAACAAGAGATTGGTATTATCAAAATAAAGCTCAAACTTTCCCTTTGTGTAATTCGTTTGTGTTAAGCGAGAAGATAAATTACCGTTGAGACCCAAAGTTTGGTTTGGCAACAGTGTGTCAGTGGGATTGTTGAAACTTTGCCACAAATAGGAAGAACTTGAGGATACCAAAACAAAGTTTCCTGTGTCCATCATAGCTCCATGGGACACATCTTCTTGTGATGTAGCAGTCCATAGAGCTTGACCTTGAGGATTGGTGAGTCTGAGACCTGTTCGTGTGAGGTGAACATGCGATCCTGATGGTGCAGTTGGACTCGCCATGTTGGCATACCAGACTATGGTTTTGTCAGGTATGTTGTTGAACCAAATGGCAAGCAAAAAGAGATTGGTGTTATTGATTGGGCGAAATCCAAAAGCGAATTCTCCTGAAGGTGAGAGCCAGGAAGGATTGGTTTGATCATTGGTGGAGAGTGTTGAGCCCAAGGTCACGTTTCCAAGAGCCAAATCAAGTGGAGCCAGGAGGAGGAGGATGAAGAAGATGCTGGGCACTGCCATGAAAGAAATTGAGCTTCGATGTTAGATGTTGCGTTGGCGACTCCACCTGTATATAAAAGATGTACTATGTGTGTTGTTGAGAAAAAAACAGATGGAAGATCTCCGTGAAATTAAGACAACTGTGCAGGCTTTCCCACATGAAACACCATTATTTAAAATTTGGAAAAGGATGCATAGGGGTCAATCTGAACACACCGTGGTTGTCTAACTACAATTTCATGTCTTTAAGAAATTTTTTTTTTCTCGGCATGGACCACACATTTGTTGAATATTTTTAACACCGAGCAAGATTCCAAGCATAGCAATACCGGTAATTGACTTACGCGTTAACTACCAGTTAACTAATTAATTGATGAGTAAAAGCCGACAAAAGCTCCATTGACCGAACCATTAAGATCATTTAATGACATTGCCTTAGTTAATAGTACCCGACCTCGTTTAATTTTTATTTTAGTTCTAAATATAATAGTCCAATCCACTTTGTCTCTCATATTTATATATTTTTTTTCAAAATAATCCCTCTAATAATGGTAGTTTTAATTAATACAATTGATTAGTAAGGATATTTTAGAAAAAACAGCACCTATTTATTATGAATAACTAACTTAACTTATTTTTTTAATCTACTCAAATTAATTAACTAGCTTTTATATTTAGTATTGGAGGTAATTCATAAATGCAATTAGTAATATACTCCTCTGGTCCTATTTATTAGATAAAAAGAGAAAGTTTTCTTGGTCCTATTTATAAGTGATTTCATTAAATTTTTAGCATGCATATACTATTTTGTCCTTTATTTATTATGGTGTAGATAGTTATTTTTTTTAAAAGGTGTATATAATAAATAGAGGTAAAATCGAAAAGTTGTTATATTTTCATAGGGTTAATGAAATTTAAAATTTTTTTAATTTATATAAAATATATTGAAAGTGTTTTATAAATAGAATTAGAAAAGCATTTGAGTAATAACTACAACTAAACTCTCAAATTTAAGTATTCAACCTCGCCGGCGTTTGACCCGATCTTTTGATCTTTTCTGCGAAATTAGCGGGGTTGACGCGCGGTTGGTCTTCGGTCCAGAGGCCCGTCGTAGTCAGTTTTGAAATTTCCAAGGACTGATCAAATTGTTGGGCATCAATCTGCGCCGAGAAATAAATAAGCCCAAACAGTTGAGCCCAGCAGTTAAGTTACAAGGCCTACAACCCAAACTTGGGCCTTTTGTCCCATCTCCGGAACAGAATACCGTACACCGGATAGCCTTGCGTGATGCGAGTTATGCTTTTTTTGTTTTGTGTGTTTTTAATTTGGCAATTTATATTTTTATTTAGAGTAAAATAAATTGACCCCTTTCTATTATAATTTAATCGTAGCGAGCTTTCTTTTATGTTCAAACCTTGCGCTTGCGCAGACCTCTCTCAAAATCAATATTTGCATCGTACAAACTTTCTATTTCAAATAATTATTTTTATTGAATATTAAAAAATTTTAAAATAATTTCTGGGATATTTAAATATGTTAATTGATTGATTGATGAGTAAGAGCTGACAAAAGCTCCATTACCACTGCCATTCAGATCATTAGGCATCACCCCTTTGGGTTTTTTTGTGCCACCTTTAATGCAATTATTTTGAAGTTTTTTTTTTTTTAATCAAACCCTCGATGCATTTCTCCATTATATTTAACTATAATTATGCTCTCAACACTCAACAGGCCTGTCGTTATTGGTCTTGAAACCTCAAATTAAACGTGGTTTTTTTTGGGTATAATAAAACGTGTTTTTTTTGAACAAACGAACCCCATATACTGCTCAAGTGGTTGGGCCTGTGTCTCCCCTGGAAACATTTCGGCCCTTAATTCAAGGCCCATGAGTTTAGTTACAAGCCCTACAATCCCAAGCCTCCCCACCCCTCACGAAGGGAAAGAAACACCAATACTCTGCTTGATTAGTATTGCCATTTTAGTTAGATGGTTCTACTTTGCCATTTTTTTGATTAAAAAAAATATAAGACTTGTTTAGTTTTTTGTTTTGAAAACAATTTTTTGTTTTTTAAAAATAAAAAAACAAAAAAAAATTGTTTGGAAATTTGTTTTTAGTTGATTGTTTTAAAAAATAAAAAACAGTAACATGTTTTCAAAAACTAATCAAGCCAGCACAACCCGGTCCAATTTGGTCTTGAAAAATACAACCCGGCAACACAACAAGACTAATCAAGCCAAACCAAACTATCAGGTAAGACCGAGTTAATGACTGATAATTCAGACCATGTGATTTGGCCAATTCGCATCTTCCATTGCTGCAATCTTCAAGTTTGCATGAGCGTCTCCTCTTTCATGTTTGTTGTTCGGCCATTTTTACTTCATCATCTTCTTCTGTTGCCATCATTTTAGTTTGTCCGTGTCTATGGGTGTCTATGTTCGACAGTTACTTTCCTCTTTTTTTTTCAATTTTTCTTATATTTTTCAGTTTTCTTTCAATGTGGGTAATTTTTTTTAGTCCCAGTATGTATTATTTTGAAGCTAAAAATATGTATTGAATTTTTTTAAATATATATATAAGTAGAAAAGCAACCTATCCTAGCCTAGTAACCCAGTGGACCAGATCCAACCCAGTATTAGTCCTGGCTCTAACCAGACTGGATTGATCTTCATACCAAAATTTTCGACTTAGTCATTTTTCAAACCAGACTTTTAGATTAGGGTGTAACCCAATCCAACCCAGTCTTTGCACAACCCTACCTATCACTGCCAATGATAATTATCACCTAGTAAGTGTAATTTTTATGATGTTTTTCAAACATAATTTTTAAAATTATTATCCAGACAAATTCTTCTTTTTTTGGGCCAATTTTTTTTTTTCAAAACTTGTTTTGAGAAACAATTTTATAAATTTGTTTTAAGAATAAGTAAAGACAGAACAAAAACAAACATGCACATAATAACAGTAAACGTTTTGCTCGGAGAGCAATAATTGTAACATAAACTGATCTTCTAAAAAACTGCACGCATGAACTAAATTTATCCATAAAATATATAACAAAAATATCGGAGAGAGAATTTTAAATCTAGTTTTTTTTTTTAATTCCCAGTGCTGTCATGATGATCAATTGGCTTTCTTTCGGAAAAATTCAAGTAAATCGACTCAGATACTTTGATATATTTTTGTCAATAATTAAAAAAAAAAAAAGAAGTGAGGTTTAGATTGATTTTGGAATTCTGCCCTTACAAGCGAGCACTTGGACAGAAGCCGGAGAGTACCGGTGACACAACCCTAAAAACACGTCATTTGTAAGGAGAAATTTTACTAAAAGAATTGGATTTAGCTAAAAGAGTTAATTTCCCATAACGTGGTGTATCAAAGTTCGAATTCTTACTGAGAGAGGTACACATATTGAATACCCCGACAGCGACTCAAATGGGATTGTTTCTAATAAGAGAATATCTATATTCAAAAAAGAGGGAGAAATTTTTTAGTACTCCTGAAGCACCATCTCATATGCGCTCTAGACAATTAAAATATGCCAACTCACATCACTTTAACACTATTTGGCACCACAACAAAATGTTTATGTTATATTTTTTGGAACCAATTTCAATACCTGCCACAGTGATAAGCACCATGATACTCGTCAAATTTCAACCATTCAAATTTAATATGGATGACCGAGATTTAATATTTAAATTTTTTTAAAAAATATTTTTCTTTTTAATAGGTATATAATGAAAAATAAATGTAATATCTTAATTATAAGTTTTTAAAAAAATAAAATTTTTATTTAAAATTTATTAGTTGAAAATTTTAAATCTACACTATTAAAACTAATTCCCAATAGTTTAGATTTTAGTGCGCGAAATGAGCTTATCTTTTCTTCTTAGATTTTCTGTTGGGGTTTTCCATTCTGCGTTGCCACGAAAATTAGAAGGAGCCCTTACATTGCAAATTTAATTTTGGGTTACGCTCACAAATGAAAACAAATTTAACCCTCCAATCTTTCCGACAATTGCCTGCTTTAAAAATATATTCAATCAGATTCTAGAGGTGTTTGGCAACCTTCAAAGTTCAAACCATGGTTTTAGAAGCACTTTTCCGTAACACGAGATAAATTCCTTCGTATATTTACTTTATAAACCATAAAAATACTTCTGAAACTATGGTTTGATTTCTATCCAAACACCCCCTCTATTCTTCCCGTTAATTTGCACTACGAACTGAAGATATGAAACGTCATTCTTGAATTGAATTGATTGAATACAACCACATCTACATTTCCCTCTTTGTAAGTGCATGATGCAGAAAATCCCACTATTACCTGGCATCTAACGTAACTCACAGAAGGAGAAATCAGAGCCACGTGGACGTGTGGGCATGAAATCATTCGTACAAGATGCCGCTTCGCTGCCAACTCCCCTTCTCGCCGCCTTCTCTTTTCGCTTCCCAGTCTCCGAACCCGACGACGTTGCCTCCGATAAAGACCGCTTCGCCCTCACTCTCACGGGCTCCGGTTCCCCCGAGTTCACCCTAAGCGGAAAATTAAGAAGCGCCCGCGAGCCCCGCATCCTGTAAGCGGCTCGGTCATATGCCAGAGCGGCATCCTCTGCCGTCTCAAATGTACCCAGCCATACCCGAGCTCCATTCTTAGCCGGGTCTCGTATCTCCGCCGCGAACTTCCCCCACGGCCGCTTACGCACGCCTCGGTAATGCCTTGCCTTCTCCTTCGCCTTCTCTTGTGGGGCCGCCGCCGTCTCTACCACAGCCGGCTCTGGTTTCACTGTAATGGCGGATTGCAAACCCGAGCAGACGCTTTCTGGTGAGCTGACGTTCATGGTTGGGGCCCATCCCACTCGGACTGCGTCCCGGAGTACACCGTAGAGTAGCATGTCTTCGGGATCGTCCTGTCTGAGAGGCAATTCGCCCCAGTGATCATTCAGACACGCGTCCATTCTGTTGAAACTGGAGCTCCGAGAGTAAACAGGGGTGTTACTGGATATAGCAGCCGGAGCAGCGTTGGACTCACCGAGCAAGTGACGGCGAATGGATTCCAAAAAGACAAAATTGGAGTCGTGGCTAGTGGATCCGGGCAAGGAGTCGTGGGTTTGCATTGGATAGAGTTGGTTGGGAAGATGACTTGAGAGGCCAAAGAAGATGAGTTGAGAGTACGTAATTGGGTAATGAGGGTGGGAGGGAAGATATATTGGGTATGGAAGGTAGGAAGCGAAGAAGGGAAGAAGCGATAGGTGGGGGTTGAGATGTAAATGGGTATTATATATATGGGAAAAGAAGTGGCTTTGACACTTTCATATGAATCTGGTCTTGGGACATTTTTGGACATTGTGTTGAATTTCTTTCCTAATGTAGCTGACACCGAACATTATTGGAGGGTCGCCGTCAATTTCTAGGAAGTTTCTCAGCCTCACGTGTGGGAATGATTTGGTATAGGTTGTTTTGATTATTATTCATCTCATCCGGGCCAATGCAGAACATCATTATGTCGCCGTCGTCGTCTTACTGCTCCACGCTGCCCCCCAACTTGCCTTAATTAACGCCTTCCCTTTTCTTTCTCACCAACATTACAGTGGTAAAAGATTAAAAGTTGAATACTTTGTGTGGACAAATATGCAGAAAAGAAAATTATTTTGTATATTTTGCAACCTTTTTCCTATTTAATAAAAGATATATTTAAATATCTAGATTGACAAATGAAGATTAGTCTTTGCAATTGAGCTTTCGATTTTTTAAAGCTCCATTCATAATATACTCCTCCGGTCTTTAATATAGGATCTAATTCTTGAGTTGGTTTATGTCCTACATATAAAACCCATTTCTCATATTTATCAGTTTTCTCTAAATTACCCTTATAGATATTCTCTCAACCATAATCAAGTAGAAGAGGGAGATGGAGTATTAAGAAAGATGATTATGGTATTTTAAAAAAAATGTGTCACTTTTCTTATAATTAACTAACTTACCTAACTTTCTTAATCTAATCAAATTAGTTAAATGGATCTTATATTAAGAACCGGAAGAGTAATTAAGTAGAAAGGCATTTTAGGGCATAGATTTTTGTTAAGATTAGTAAATCATCTTGGCCTTAACTAGCATTTTCAAGGTATTGCTTTGAAGGACTTATCAGTCATCCTTGCCTTGCTAAAAGGCCCCAAATCAATTCTTTTCACCTTTTTTTTTTTAATTGTGCTTGGAGCTAAGAAAGAAAAATAATTACTAAAATGTTCTAATAACAATATGAGTAGTTTGTAATAATAAGTTCTAGAGTGGAAAATGACAACCTCTAGGACTTCGTTTTGCAATTTTCTTTATTCATTGAGACCTTATTGTAATTCTCCCTTCTCTCTTCTTTATTTTCCGCACTCGCTCATCTCTACTCCTCGTATTAATTGTTTCATTAAATTTAAATAGTTTGTGTTTGATATTTTTAAACTACTATTCAAATATTAAATTATACTCCTACAATCTTTAATATAAAATCTAATTAGAAAGTTGATGTTTATTCTATACATAAGACATATTTCACATGTTTATTAATTTTTGTTTATGTTAACCTTATTGATATTCTTCTAACCATAATCAAGTAAGAGGAACAGGGAAGAAATTAAAGAAGATACTTATGGTGTTTTAGAAAAAACATATCATGTCAACTAATTTAACTGACATTTTTAATCTACTCAAACTAATTAATTAGATCTTCTATTAAGGACCGGAGAAGTAATTAAGAGCTAATAAATCAACGCAAACAGTTAAAATTTAGCACCAACAGTTTCGAGCTATGTATACAGTGGATGCGCTGTTATAAAAATATTTTATAAAGTAGGTATATATGTTTTTCCTGCTTTTAATTAAGTCTAAACCATTTGATATAGAGTATGTATAATGAACGTCAAAATTTCTTCACTCCAAATGCATCCGAATGCTTAGTACCTAACCATCTGTCGATTCATTCATTCACTGGCTCTTTGGTTACTCTATTTGGCAGTCATGTACACTGAAGACGAGCGATCAGCTTGCTAATGAACTCCAAAATTCATTAAAATTAAGTGCTCTTCTTATATATATAACACTCGTATATATCGTTTCTAGTGGTGAATTCTAGCTTTAATTTGAATCTCTAGTTGGAAATTTTTGTTTTTTCAGCTTCCCGGCCCCCACATGACGAAATTCTCGGGAATTTAACTCAAGGTAGAGTTAGCAGATGTGATGATCGCATCCATCTGAAAAAGAATGGAAATAACAGATGTTTATTTGTATCACTTAGACAATTCAAAACTCCGCAAGTCCTTCCAAAATCGTTTCCTATGAAAGAAACTTGTATTACCAAATACAAGTCTGATTTACCTTTGAAGCTCCCCACCTACCTCTGCTTTGTGAGAAATAACAGTGTTAGTAGGTATATATATACATACTATTGAAGCCGTTAAATTGAAACTTCCAAGCTAGTAATTAAAAATAGCAAGTTGTTGGCCAAAAAAATTAAAAACCAAGTTTATACAATTATCTTGTATTTTACCATTAAGGAACAAGAAAAGTAGTATATATATAATACCACCTAACATCATACATTACTCATTCTTTACACACCTGTGTCTAGATGAAATGAAGATTATGCTTCTGTCTTCACTCATCAGCTTGCACATTAGAATTCAAAATATGAGGCTGTTTATATTTGGCACTGGCGATTATTAAGTATTCTCTGTGTATATATCATAGTGTCCCTTTCGCATTCTTCAGATCATTTATTTAAAAAAACCAAGAAGAAGAAGAAGAATTAAGCGCAGTGGTATGTTCAAATAATATTAAGGTCTAATTCTCGCACAAATAAATTAAACTAACAATCTTTCGCCCCCAAAATGTAGACATAAATAATTCTTAAGTAATAAGTAAGTGATCTTTCACGAATGGTTAGGTGAATACGATGATGGCTTAACATATATACTATTATTTGCATCATGCACGGCTTGACAAAAGCTTTCGGGCAAATTAATTGACAGGTAATAAGACGTCATGCACTGCAAGTACGAACTAATCCATTTTTTTATTGATAATTCTGAGCTCATTAAAGAGTTCGGCCCGCAATTAGATAAATAAGATTATTTGATTTGACCAATAGGAAGCATATAAACCGCAAACATTGAATGAGACCGATCTTTGAGAAAGTTAGACGCCTAAAATTGCCCATCTTTTGAGGTTCCATTAGGTGCCCTCCCTAATATTAACGACCCTCTAATTTTTAATATAAAAATTAAATAATTAATTTGAAATTTTAAGAAAATTAATTAAATTTATTATTTATAACAAATATATGTTGCTTTTCTTAAATTCTTTTTAATTATGTGTATTGAAATTACTTTTTGATAAAAACTCCTTACAATAAATAAATACTACATCCCATACTTAATATAAGAGCTAGTTTGACTTTTAATTTAGTCATAAATATAAGACTCAAATCTATTTTATCTTTTATATTTATTTATTTTTTCAAAATAATTCTTACAGTAGTTTCATATGTTACATGTTCAATCAAATAGTAATTTTAACTAATACATTATTAACATGAGTATTTTAAAGAAGACAACACATAATTATTACAAATAATTAACTCAACAAACTTTCTTGATTTGCTCAAATTAGTCAATTAATTTTTATATTAAAAATAAAAAATAATACATTTTAGAAAAAATTATAAATTTAAGAAGTAAATGAATTAAAATCTTGTATTTGAAATTAAATTCAATCTTCCAAAGCAAAGCAGTGTGATTTTTATAATGAGGTATAAATTCAAAAAAAAAAAAAATTCAACTTGTTTGAATGGATGGAGAGATTTGCCACACGTAACTGGAGTGGACCTTCACAAAGGGCGAGGGGTTCGGTCAGACTTTCTAAAAGTGGCATTCAACATTTGACGGCAACATTTTTTAATACTAGTTTAAATCGAATAATATGAGCACGTGGGGATATGGATTATTCAAACATGAGATAAGACCAGGGGGTGGGGCCCATGCAAGGCTAGTGGGTGAGGTGGGGCCTGAGCGGGTAGTGTTGGAGGAAGACTGCAATGTTGGATTTAGCGGAAGGGAAAGACTCAAATATTGCGGTCGGGGTCGGGTGCATGCACGTGCTCCTGTTGGCACCTATTGACTTTCAAATTTCAATTACAGGCTTTCCCATTATGGCAAGCCCCTCCAGAATTTCGAAGTCAAACCCAAACGATCCTTTGTAAGCTTCTTTAGTTTACTTTTCTCTTGCTTGTGCCTCGCAATTTGTTTGTCTTTTGGGGATTCGGAAAAAACAGAGAGAGATCACCAAAAGAAATTCATGCAAAAGTTTGCGGCTTTTCCAAAAATAATTTTACAGTACTTCAAAAAATGTAAAAAAAAAAATGGTTATGCTTGATAAAAAGAGACTAATACCTAGAAATGCCTTCTATATATCTTCCAGGATCCCCCTCTATTTACATCTACCACAAATTCTCTACACTCGCCTGCCAGTAAGAGGCTTTTTGTTTTCGTTTTATTTTTATGCAAATACGTCTATCTAACTCTTTTATTATTATTATTATTATTATGAGTTAGAATTGATTAATAATTTATTTTCTGGGGCCGTGAATTGATCATTAAAAAAAAAATCCGCTACTACCTCCATTCTAATTATAAGACCTTGTTTATAAATTACAAAAAAGATTTTATAATTAGGATGAGATAGTACTTACTTCCGGTTCTTAATATAAGATCCTGTTTGACTTTTATTTTGGTCCTAGATATGAGATCCCAATTACTTTGTCTCTTATATTTATACATTTTTTTCCAAAGTAGTCATTCTAATAATGATAGTTCTAGTCAATACATTTGATTAGTAAGGATATTTTAGAAAAAACAACATCTATTTAGGACAAATAACTAACTCAACTTACTTCCTTAATCTCCTTAAATTAATCAACTAACTCTTATAATTAGGACCGGAGATAATATTTTATACTTTTATTAAAAAAAAAAAAAAGAAAGTGTCAGGGAGTGTTTGAGAGAAAGACACGCTCTAGCATAGGAGAACATATGTGCCGCGCAAAAGTAGGATGGACTGTGATATGCACACATATTGGTTCATGATGAGTCAGCTTCCATTATCCATGAAACAAGCACTGTCATGTTTGAAATAAAATACTAATAATAATAAGAAAAATTGTTAAATAATCTCTTATGACAAAATTTATTATCCAAATGTATATAGGGATCCAGATCCTAGTGACTGAATGCAAAAATTATTTAAATGTGTGTAAAAGATATTTTCAGTTATATGCAAATATTTTTCATTTTACATATAATTAAAGATAAGTTTGTTGTACTTGAAGAAAAAGCGCCGTCATTGAAAATAAATTGCACCTTTGTTCTAAAATAAATTTTGGGGAAGACCCAAATAGTAAAAAAATAGTAGATGAGGTGGTGTGCCGCTATGTTGTCACGTGGCATATATATACTGTGATATACGTGAACCTCACCCTTATCCAATTAGAGCAGACTGTCCACCTTCTTTTGTCCTTCTGCATCTCTTTTGTTTTTTTTTTTTGTTGTGATGAGTAGCCCTTCTCTCTCTCTTCTTGTGATTTTATTGCTTTATTTTAATTGAAACGAATTAGCTTTAGCGGTGTGGGCTTGTCAATGCATTTTGTGGAATTAGTATGCCTACCGAACCTTTTTTATTTTTTATTTTTACACCTTCTCATGACGCGATCCCTAGCCACAATAATCGAAATCTAATGAGATCTTTTTTCCCCTTTTTATGCTCTAATTATGACAGCTAAAAATTCAAATACAACTATGGTTTATCCCATAATACGCTATATTGGGTTAGAAGGATATCTGAGTAAGCTATTCCGCATATTGACCGTACGTATGAAGAATAACGAAACCTACTTGATATGTAAGACTAATTAAATAATAAATGCCACACATATACTTTAAACTGCACAATTTATTCATAATTAAACGTGCATCATAAATGAATACGAGATAATATAATTTCGTCTTAACTGACAGGAGAAACACATAAAAATAATACCCCTTTGAATCTTTCGATTCCTATTACAGGAAATTTTGTAAAATAAAATGGAGAGATAAAAGTATATATTACTCAACAGATTATTAATATAAATTATAATAAGTCAGGCTGTTTACGAGTTATATGTTATCCTACAAATTTTGTATCAGATGCAAGACCCAACGTATGATTTTCTTTGTATAAAAGTACGAGTTTTTTTTTTCTCCCTCCTCAACATGAAATTTTCCTTCTAACGTGGAAATCCAAACCCATCCAAGAGCAGGTCAACCCTCATTAGATTGTTGACCTTCAGAACTAATACGTAGTACTAGTAGTTAGCTAGGGAGGCACCGACGCGTAGCATGCATTCCGTCATCCTTTTGCTGGTCAACCATATTTAAGAAATGATCAGTGAAAACCCTATGCATATAGTAATGTTAATTGCCATTTTCGAGGCCTGTTTTGGTTCTATCGCTATGTCACCGCGTAATTAATATACCCTTAGAACTTGAAAATTCAAATATGACGTTTCTGAAAGTGTGGTTGCCATGAGTCTGGCACACCACCAGGAAAATATTTTTTTGGTACCATTATCCAGTGCCGGTTGTTTTTTCTAAGTTAAGCATCCAAATAACTGACTAATTGATTCAGAGTTTGTAGCTGTCCCTCCAAACACAGGAGTATCTCTTTAGGAAGTCCACCTTAAGACTCAGAGATTTAGCAGGCCTTGTACCACTAAATCAACTTTGGCAGAAAATTATTACTCCTCCTGGCCCAAAATATAAAATGTTACTGATAAGAATGTCAATTTAGTCTTTTATGTGAGATCTTATTTATTTTTGTTTAGCACATTAATTATTTGTTACAAGTATACTTATTTAATGTATTATTTCTTTTTCAGATTTAAATGAATGAATGTCAATAATTTAACGAGCATGAGAGGGATATTTCAGGGAAAAAAATCATAAATGGTTAGCATGCTTTATTAAAAATAACTAACATAACTTCTTTTTTAATTCTTATAGAGTGGGTAAATAGGACATATATTTAGGACAGGAGAAAATAGCAATAATTAGAGGTGAAAATCAAATTAAATACAATCAATTTCCATTTCAGTTCTGCCTTGGAAAGGAGTCTTTAATTCATTGTTAAACAAATGCTATTCTTAAAAAAACTCGAGATAAATATCTGTGTCGCTACTTTATTTTGTCAAATATAATTGGAAATAAATATAAATTTTAGCAACGTAGTCGGAAGCGATGGGTCTACTCTTTGTTGTCAATACTTTGAAATAAAGTAATACACTGTTTCAAAAGTCAGGATGATATTGAAATTAGAGGTTCTAAGAGGTAGAGTTGAGTTTGTGAAGGGTTACGGTGAAGCCCTTCGTTGCTTTACATTGCTCCCGAGAAATACATCTTTTTATAATAAAAACCTGAAATCTCGCCATTTATTATTTATAGAAAGACTCAGACATTTTCTTCAATCTTGAGCTGTACGTCGAGCAGTCGAACTCATCGCAATATTTCTTGCGATCAGAGACCTTGGAATTTTGGCATCCTGCCACAAGATTGATTGTGACGAGCTTGGTCAGCTACAAATTTTAAACATCTCGTTTTATTATGAACAAGACATAGTCCATACATCAAATTTATGATGTGAAGGCTTACCCGGTACAACCTAAGACTTAGTTATATACAAATATTATATTAATTCCACTCCTTCTTGGCTCCTCACATGAAGAGAATTTCGAAACGAATAAAGAATATTTGAACAAGATGTGCTCAGCCTGTGGTGGGTCCATGTTTAATAACCATGGGGAAAAAATATGAAGTGGTTTGTGGTTGAAAGTTGAAACATGCCTGGGTACAGTAAAAGACTTTGTGTTATGAGTATTAACGCACCTGAAACCATTGACTAAATCATATGTCGTTCACATCGAAATTCAAAATTCTTTTCCAAATGGAAGGTAATACGTAAAAAATTAAAATCAAGTCACAATTAACATTAGCGAGGTTACAAATAAAGGAAATAAATTAAGATAAAATATAATAGCCGGCAAATCATCACGAGACCTGGGATCTAATCGTAATAAAATAAAACTAATTAGTTTCATCGTACGTAAAGAAAAGGGGCAAATGCAAATAGACAAAAATTTGGACGACCATGTCAGTTTTAATTAACCCACTAATCATGGGGCGGTGGAGCAGGACATGGCAGGCTTAAGGCCTCCTTTCTGTCTGTTCTGTTAAGTTTATACTATATTAAGCATTATTAATTTCTGCAAGACCCTTTCAATTTATATAACTCTCAATGCAATGCACCTTCCAGATAAAGGACAGAATTCCTTTTCTTTTCTAGAATAGAATCCTTTGTTTTTGTTTTTGTTCGGCCATCCATCATGTTGGCATATATTACCCTTTTTCGGGAAAAAAAATCTGGTTGGCCTGTGAAGTATGAACAATAATTTCAGAACTTTTCTTGATGCTCTCATGTCAGTGTGAAGCCAAAACTAGAATAGAATCCTTCGTGGTCACCATTCTAAGGAAGCTCTCTTGAAAAGGATCGCCTTTTCTAGAAGTTCTTGTTCCAAAGTTGATTGTCTGATCTTAGTTTAGCCACAAGGGCGGAGTAAATTTCTCATGTTAGTTTTACTATATGCAAAACTAACAGACAAACATCTCATGGCCCAGTTTTTCTTTACTTGCACGTTATATTAGAGCCGAACGTTTAGGTTTCTAGAAACCTTGTCAAAGCAGCGGGTATGAGGACCTCCAATCTTAAGGTTCCCGTCTTGTTAACCAAATGACCAGATTTTGAGGACTTTTGTTTCAACCTCTTTCACTCTAAGATACTGTACCTAATTAATTATTAATTCCCGTGGTTAAAATAATTGGATAAATATAAAATATTATTGCGTGCAATGTATATATTCACATCAAACCGGGTCATCAGAATTTACTTTTGTAATTACACTGTTGATTTTTGAATGGATCTCTTTACCTAATGCATCTAAAAATTTTTCAAAAAATATTCATCAACTTACCCCCACCACCACAGGCTACTTTTTTAGGAAGCCACTTGGAATGTGGAAAACGGAGCTAAGGTGAAAAGACTAAACAAGAAGACAAAAGAAAAGGCGCGCGCTGATGAGCGATTATCTCAGAGGCTTCGCCGTTGACTCTTATCGATGTCAGATCCAACGGTAAGAGAGAGGTAGAGCAGGATATGGCGTGTTCCGTGCCGCAGGATAAAGAAGCCAGGAGGATAATTGATGAGGGAAATAAGGGAAGACGATGCTTCCTGCGACCCTCGTAGCGCTAGGTTTGAACGTGGTGGAACTGGAGATGTTCAAAGATTCACGCCTATATATATCCCTTTTTTCCACTCTCCTATGTACTCAACTTCGATAACACAGCTTAGCTCCTTCCATCGTCAATTCTGAAATTAAAAAGTTCCTTTTCTACTTCTTCTTCTACCTTTCCCCCAGACGATCCCCTGCAGAATTTGATCAAACACTGCGATGGCCAATCAAGTTCAGGTTTCCGCTCTCGAACGCATAAAATTACATCTTCTTGGTGAACTCTCTCCGCTGGCAACCTCGCTGCTGATGCCCTTTGGTTTGGGAAGCCAGCTCATCTATTTCAAATTCTCAATCTCTCTGTTCCCAATCTTCCATTTCCGACGCCAATTCCATCATGTCCGATTACGTTCCCGATATCCTCGACTTCCAGACCCATCCTGTAGCTTCATCACAAGATCAAACAAATCCGTTTGAATTCGAGACCAAACCCCAAATAATTGACCTCGCAACGCCAAACCCCAAATCCAAGCTTCGCAATTCGAAACAAGGTTCCCTAAACTCGAATCCAATACAGAAGAAAGCTCTCCGTCAAACAGTTGCGTGTTGGACTTCGACCCAAGACCTCATGAATCGCAGAAGAAATCTCCTTCAAGTAGGAAACCGGCGTTGCAAATCTCGCTTCCGAAGAAAACCGAATGGATCCAGTTTGGGAATCCGGAGCAGCAAGAGGAGGCGGCGGAGATGTTGGAGCAGAAAAACACAAAGGAAGTCGAGAAAAAGCACTACAGAGGAGTCCGACAGAGGCCGTGGGGAAAGTATGCAGCGGAGATCCGAGACCCGAACAAACGGGGATCCAGGGTGTGGTTAGGAACATTTGACACAGCGATTGAAGCCGCCAAAGCCTACGATCGAGCTGCCTTTAAGCTTCGCGGCTCCAAAGCCATCCTAAACTTCCCTTTGGAAATAGAAACATCGAGCTCGGCGCCTAGCTCCGGCGAGGGAAAACGCCGTCGTCAAGACGAACACAAGGTGTCGGAAGTGGAGGTAAAGCCGGTGGTGAAGAAGGCGAAAACGACGACGGAGTCTCAGGAGAACTGTGCAAAGGACGCTCCGTTAACGCCGTCTAACTGGAAGGGGTTCTGGGACAACGATTTAAACGGGATTTTCAGTGTCCCGCCGTTATCGCCGTTATCTCCACTTCCCACCTTGGGTTGTCCCCAGCTTATGGTCGTATGACATCCCACTTTGGAGATGAACACTGTTCATAGCTTTGTTGCAATATTTTCTCAAAGATGGATATGATTTAATCGAATTTAATTCTTTTTTTTAATCAAATATTCGGGTTGAATTATCTATATGGTATCTTTTTTTTATTTTATATAAACATACAAATTAAAATAAATTAAGTCACGAACTCATCATAAGGTTAAAGCATGTCTGATCTTATAATTCAGTGTTTTTTTTTGTGGCCAAAACTACATAATCATATTGTTACCTCATTATCACATCAACCATATAACTATATAAGTCAGTGTTTTTTTTTGGCCAAAACTACATATCTTAGTGTTAATTCATATGCACTTGCGAATATACAGTTTATAATTACGTTAGGTTTGATAAATGAGACATTCTACTGATGATTTATAACTAACCTAGCTAAACCCGAAATTAAAAAATGAAAACCTTATTTGTTAAAACAAAAGAAAAGCAAGGGAAAAGTAATGATATCAAAATTTCCTGTAATATTATAAATCATCAGTACTGATAAATGGTAAATGTGATACGCAGTGGGAGCGGCATTCTGAAAGGAGTGCCGAGACACAAGCAAAGCAAGACAAAAAGGAAGGAGGTCTTTGAAATGCAGGCCTTTACAAATTCAACGGTGGCACGAAATAATATAATTTGTTGAAAAATAAAGCTCTCATTTGAAAGAATTGATGAATTCTGTATTACTGTATTGGGGCTGACTGGATCTCTATTGATTGTCGTGTGCGGAATTAGCTTCACGTGCCTAATAGTGGGGATCTACAAGTAAACATCTTGCTGATTTCATCTAATCCCTCGTCTTAATACTGTGCTTAAATAATATCGTAAAACAAACCAGTTACGTTGCGGCTTCGACTTCATAATTAATCCATCACTGTCCTGTGATTAACTATGTCCATACGGCTCTTAAATTGTTTTTTATACTGTCTGCTGACGCGATTAAATGAACCGTACGGCCCTTAAAGTTCAATCTCGTGTATATGTAGTCTCTTGCGGCACAGGGGCACCATGAATGATGCGAAAGTTAATAAGTTTTATGTATATGACTGGATTTATTAACGAATCGATAATTACCTTTCATCGAACTGTGGGGATCTCAAGTATACCTTCACCTCCATCGTTCCCTGGCATACAAGTCAAATTAAGACTTGGGTTGGGGCGATTGGGACCCTCAAGTACTGTTTGGTATCGATTGTAACTGAAAAAAATCATTAAAAAAATATTTAGCATGAGTAATTATTTGTTACATGAAGTTAGGGAAACCCATTGATATGGAATTAGATAATACTACATCTGACTATAATATTCTCCAATCTCACATATATGAGTTTGTCTAATGCCATGTAACAGAAAATCTCTCATACTAAATATTCTTTTAATAAGATTTTTTAATCCCAATTATAACCTATACCCTTCATTTTTAATGTTTCTTATCAGACATGACCTTTATCGTCATCTTTTTAACTCCTTGTAATTTCCACTAATCACTTAATAGGGAGATTTCATGTTGTCCATAATCTGAATTTATCGCGTGCATCAATTAATCATCTCTGACTTCAACGTCGTTTTTGAATTTTAACGTCTTACCCAGCAATAACAATGTAACCTGCTTTTTCTTCAAGGCTGTTCCATCCTTTGACTTTCATCCTTGTTCAATTAAAGCTGTTCCATCCTTTGACTTTATCCTCGCAGCAAAACCAGATAAGAGGGCGAAGTTAGAGAGTGTAAAGTAATCGACAGGACATGAACCTCGCCTTCTTTTTGCGATATTCGTCTGAATCTTTATATACTCCTCCAGTTCTAAATATAAAACCCTTATATTAGTGTGTATAAGAGTCTTACATTTAGGATCGGAGGAGTATGTTAGTATAAGAACATTATATTTAAGACAGGAGAAGTATCAGTAATAAAACTAAAATATATTTTTCGTTTTTTAACTTTATATAAAGTTTTAATTTAGTTTCTTAATTTTAAAAACTATACTTTTAGTTTTTCAACTCTAAATTTTTTAAAAAAACATGACATTAAAATATTAAATATTAATAAAATATTCTCAAATACTAATATATTAAGTTTAATTTTTAAAATATTAATATTTTTTTATAGACAGGGCCCACAGCTCAGAAAATTAAAAAGAAACTACAAGAAAAGCAAAACCGACAAGAACTCAACCAGCATCACGCCACTTGCTTCCCAACTTGTCCTCTCTGAACGCCTCTTCCACTATGGGCGGGCCCTTCGAAAAAAGGCGCCTGTCCTCATATCCATCCCAGCTTGCACTACATCTTGCCATCGCATCAGCGCAACCATCTGTGTACATCTTACAAAAAACTCATCATCAAATCCTAATAATTCTAAGATTAAAAAATCAAATACATACTTTTTAAAATTAAAAGATTAAATTAAAATCTTATATAAAATTAAAAGACTAAATATATATTTTAATCTTAGTAATGATGTGTTCCTTCGGTTCGACACAAATTTAAATTAAAAAAAAAAGTGTGCAACTTTTCAATTTTAGTCTTCACCGTAATTATGACCACAGCAAAGTGCATGTGCGTCTATGAATTAAAAGCACATGCAAACAACTTAATCCAATTTTTTGCCCAACAAAACAACTTAATCCAATTAAAGAAGAGCAGTATTGAAGCAGAAGTTCAACCATCACATATTTGTTCTTTATTTATAATTTAACGGGGCTTCACATTTTTGCCCAGTAATCAAGACAGCAGGGAGTATATTAAAAACAATAATAAATAAATTGAAGGTATAATAATCTTACGTATCAAGCCGAAGTAATATCTTGTACTGCTATTGCAATTATTTAATACGTAGTATATTACGATGAAGGTAGATTTTTAGACCTTTTGCCACTGAAGTTTGAGGATTATTAAAATATCTCTGCCTGTTATCATAAAATAAAAGGTCCTATGTTTGTTATATAATGGTCGCATTGCTGAGGATAAAGAAGGACGACAAATTTAAAATGATTGGGGGTGTATTAGTCCAAGGAGATTTAATAATGAAATTAGAAGTTATGGGATTTGAATTTTGACCCGCTTGTTTGAAAATTCTCCCTCGCCAATAAATATAAACGCAATTCTCTCTCATCTATCATTTGACATTTGACTTTTCTTCCAATCAACATCTCAAGAATTACAACATTTAACCATAACTTTGACCGATGTTCCTGGCTCATATAAGCTCAAGTTCAGAAGCTGTGCCGTTCCAGGTTTAGCCATTTCCTGGGACTCGTCCCATATCAATTGTGCTCAAGGCTGGACTCAAAAGCCTCTTCTTTTTTTTTTTTTGGGGAAAAAAAGAAGTTCTGGAGTAATACTTAATCATATACTATTAAATTTTAAGAGCTATGATGTTCTTCAAAAATATTATATCTTTATAGTTATGAAAGAATAAGTATTAAATCTATGACATTATGTTCTCACATAACATTTTAATAAATATTATTTAATAAAATTTAAAAAAATATTTTTAAATGATCATATCACAGTCAAGCATAGAAGGATATGGGGAAAGAAATGACATGAGAGCATTTTATTTTTTTAAAAAAATTACAATCTCTTGAAAAGCAAGAAAAGGAATTTGACTGTAGCACATGAGAAAATGGGTTTGGCAAGACTGGTTTGGAGGGGAGCAGAAGGTTTGTAGAATTTTTTTTTTGTTTGTTAAAGCATATGTGTCTTTTTATTAGAAACAACTATATTTGAGACACTGTCAGGTACTAAATGTGGATACTTTTTTAAACATGAATTCGAAGCTCAGTTTTGTAGAATGTTGTAGTATTCATCATGCAAAATAAAAAAGAGACTCGTGGGCAAGCCTGAACTATTTTGGGCCTATAAGGCCTGGGCTCAAAAGCCCATTTATAATAAACAATTCCTATTTTGAAGGGCCAACCATAGAAAAAAGGCCCGGGAGACCGCCACATGCTTTCAACCACCAATCCATTTTGTTCAGATGTCCCGAGTCAGTATTCCTATAGTCCTTTGTATTAAACATAGTCCACTTCTTGCATAAAATATATATATATAGTCGACTTCCTTCTTGCGCCTCAAGAGAAGGCCTAGTATAAATTAAAATCTGGGCCTAGCGGCCAAATCGGCAGTCGAAGGCCTAGTATTAGTCTCAACCAGGAGGGAGCCACCCATCAGCAACGGGTCAGACAAGCCCACGAGCTGTTTTGTTGCTAGCCCCAGCCCACACAGAATTTAGATTCCCAATATGAAAATAACGTGTAGTACTTTTTTGGATGGAATATGAAGATTTTTTTCCTTGAGGACACCCGGATATTTCAAAATGTTGCAGAAATATCCGGAAAAGAAGACAACAGTCTCCGTCAAAATTTGTTAATCTGAAGAGGAAATAAAATAAAACAGTGGGGGGTTTTTAGTAATTTGAATTAGGAATCGCTGGAGAAGGACAAAGATATCCATACCCCCGTTTTTTTTTTTTTTGGGGTTGGAGGGTAGCAGCGTTGGCAGGCACAAAGTGATGCGGAATCACGTGTGGATAATGCTCTCCACGCAATATCTGCATTACCCAATGTTTAAGGCTTAGAAGGACACCTCAAATCCACCCAACGATTCCACCACGCGCCACGTCAAGCGGCTGGGTATTCCCATCGTGAACCATGTGTTGACACTTGTTTATTTTAATGTTATAGATAAATATATATATATATATAAATAATACCCCGTATGGTTCCATGTGTTAGTTTCTGCTTGTCTTTGGGCATCATCCTCCCTGGGCGTGAACCATACCCCCTGCTCATAACATATAATATTTGGAATTAATCACAAGTTTAATTTGCTTAATCACTCCTAACGCTGAAGGTAACTTTTGATTCTCTTTTTTTTTTGACCAGCGGTAACTTTTGATTCACTCACTGATCACATCCAAATGGGAATATACCTCCACGTTACGTGGGCAACAACCCCCCCACCTCCCTAATTTTTATTATTAATAAAACCATAAAAGGGAGGCTTACTTGTCCTTCATCCAACTCCTTAATTTATCCAAAAATGCGTGCTCACTAGACCTCTCCACGCCCTTCCCTCCTCTCCCTTTCCCATTTTGATTCCACACCGTCCCCCAACAGCGGATTGTGGGAAATAATTTTATGAGAAAATTAACTTGCGGGCCCCATCGTTTGTCTTCGCTTTTCCGTCATCAGCTTGTGGGAACCATAGATTTAATAACGCAGAACAGGGTCATGCGTCTATATATTATGTGTGCGTGTGTATATGTATATGCTTTGTCATGTTCATTTAATTCACCTGGCGTAGATATCATAAACACATGCCTAATTACTTTTCTGATTGGTGGTCACGCGCTTTTTGGAAGGCGTGGGGGTGGCGTCCGCGTCATACTGCAGAGGTGAGTTTGAGTCACTCCCCTTGCCTCTCTATCATGAAGATTTTTATTCGGTTTTTTATAATCATTGCCCCGGCACACACCACTCATTATGTACACCGCAAAACTGCATAATTGTTCATTTCCCACCCACGCAAGGAGCCAAGCTGCTACCTGCAATTTACCGGCTTGTCTCCGTTTGATTATCAAACATCAGGCTTCCTTCTCAATCATGAGAGCTCTCGTGCTCTCCGAATGACGATGAGTCCCATGTCGCCCCTTTACTCGTAGAGCGATATCTGCTATGGCACTCTAGATATTCGTGTAGATTCTCGCTTGTATTCACCTCCAACCATATCAAAATTTGGATTCTTATTAGTTCGTGGCAACAGGTTTGCGGTTTTCTGTGAGATTTGGGTTTTGAAAAAGATGGGGCTGAAATTCTTTGATTCCGTTTCTGTGTCTACTTCTGAGATTGCTCATTTAGGAACAACTGACTCTGTCCTGCTCTCCAAACTCGGGCGTCAAGCTACTCTCCCATCCTCTATTCACTTCAACTGTCGCAGAGGTAAGCAAGAAAATCCCATAGATCCTCAAAGGCATTTCCTTTATTTTTGTTTCTTGTTTATTTTCCTGTGGACGTAACATAGCATCCTTATGTTCTTTCGTTTTTTCAGAGAGTTTCGTCTTTTGTTAACTTGATGCCGATAAATTATGAGCCATGGTCCAGTTCCGTTGGTTCAAATCCAATGCTGGCATTTCGCTAACAAAAGAAAGAAAAAGATGCTGTGTTTTTTAAACTTTATTTGGTGTCTTGTGTTGAATTACAGGGTTGGTTCCAAGGGCTCAGTGGTCGGGCACTTCAGATCACAAGTATTTGGCAGATAATGTTGCAGCAAAAACCAGTTCCCATAATATAAATGGGACAAATTTAAATGGAACACATTTAAATGGAGCAGCTTTCAACCTGTATTTCAGAAATACAGGAGTACTTGATGCTTTGGATGACCAGTATGGGGGAGTTGTCGTTAATTCAGATGGGTTGCCAGACAACCCGTCTGCCTTTGCATATATTTTGCGTCTCTCTCTTTCTCATTGGAAAAGGATGGTAAACCCTCTACCCAGTCTGATATATTTTCAAATTATATTATATTTAAGCATTAAAGGAGCTAGATATATGCTTAACACTTGCTCAACGCAAACATGATGAGAAAGCGTCTGATCTCATTTCCTTTGCTCGGCTGTTAGATCAAGATTTCTATCGTGTTGCAAGATATAGAGTCATCTTCTTGCAGACAAACTTACATGTAGCTATCTGATAATTGCAGGGAAAGAAGGGGATTTGGCTTAAGTTGCCCTTAGAAAAATCTGACCTTGTTCCCATCGCTGTGAAGGTAGTTTAGTCTAACTCTTGCTTGTAATATGATCAATACTTTCATGCATGTTTATATGAAAAGTCTCAGAATGTGTCGTGCCCTCTGTAAAAGGATCCCTGAATAATTCAACAGACGCTCACGAAAAGACTTGGACAATCACCCATTGGTCTTTCTATAACTATCTCTGCCTTTTGGTTTTACTCAATCAAGTGTTGTTGAACCTATGAATCAGGAAGGCTTTCAATACCACCATGCGGAGCCTGGACATCTGATGTTAACATACTGGATTCCTGAAGGACCTTGCATGCTTCCTGCTAATGCATCCCACCAAGTAGGAGTTGGGGGATTTGTCATCAATGACAACAATGAGGTCTGCTTCCTTCTATTCCATTCAAAAAGTTTTCAAGGAACCTTTTTATGTTACTCTGTTTGCCGTGTTTTAAACCTTATCTGTAATCTCAAGCTGTTCTTGGCTAACTTGATTATGCAAGGCAAGCTCTGTATTTGACTGTAATTTCCTACCATGAATTTGCACAGGTACTTGTAGTTCAAGAGAAACACTGTTCTCCTGCAACTTTAGGTCTTTGGAAGATTCCAACTGGATTTATTCTTGAGGTATGTACTTCTAATCAAGAATAGAATCCATATTTTGTTTCTGTACTCCAATTTCCAGCTTTAATCAAGATTGCATGACTGAGCTTTTGCCAGGCGGAGGAGATATATACTGGAGCTGTAAGAGAAGTGAAGGAAGAAACGGGGGTAAGAATAAAGTGATTTGAACAATATATTCCTGTGAAGTAACTCTGTATTAATTTTGTTATTGATGAGGTCGTATGATATGATGTAACTGGCTTTAGTGAGGGTTTTCTTCTAATACTTTTTGCCTTATGTTGCAGATTGATACTGAGTTCATTGAAGTGATAGCATTCAGGTTAGAACTGAAACACAGATCGGGAGGGCTGATATTAATAATTGGTGATCCCATTCGAATATCACTTTTTTTTTAATTCACAAAAATGTTCCACTAATTATAACGGGATCTAATCATCTAAAAGGGTTTGACACCGATTATCACTTTGCTTGTATCTTTGTTGACCGTAAAAATCTAATGAACGTGATGAACATGAGCTGCAGACACGCTCACAATGTGGCATTCCAGAAATCAGATTTGTTCTTCATCTGCATGCTAAGACCCCTCTCAAGTAACATCATTATTGATGGTGTTGAAATTGAAGCTGCTAAGGTGAGACTCTCGAATATGAGCACAATTTTGTTGGCTTAGAAGTATGAAGAAAATGATAGAAATAATCGTGACGGTTCATGCAGTGGATGCCGCTTGTGGAGTTTGTGGAACAGCCACAGATCCAGGAGGATTCAATGTTCAAGAAGATCATAGACATATGCATTGCTCGCATGGGAAAGCGTTACTGTGGACTATCACCTCATCACATGATTTCTAGGTTTGATGGCAAGTCATCTTCCTTGTATTACAATGTCACGGACACCCACCCAGATGTGAATTGTATAGCCAACTAAACCTCTCTCTTCCTCTCTTTCTCTCTCCTTATATATACACACACACACACCCACAAGTATAAATATATTAGCAACGAGTCTGGCCTCATACCACTCTTCCTTTTTTAACATGAAATCACAATCACAGTCTCAGTGACCCCCCTCGTTTTCCCCTTCTTTAAAGCTCTTCTCGTCGTCCCAGGGTTTGATTCTAGTCAAATGAATTACCTGACACGTTCGTTGTACTGTACATATTTAATAATAATAATGAAAAGAACCCTGTTCCTTTTTCAATTACATCATCTGGCGTACTCCATAAGCTGAAATCAACTTGATAAGGTGAGAATGATGGGAGATATTCTGACGCTTCTGAAGCAGCATCTTAAGGAATATTTGAGAGCAGAAAAACAAGAGGACAACAGAGACTTCGTGGTGGAACTGAAACAACAGTATTTGACGCGTAACTCCCACGGCCATATAATATAATGTTATATGAGAATCTCAAACCAAGTAGCGTTGTCGATAGGGTCGAATCGAAATGAAGGATCTTTCGGCATATGTATGAGCACAGGGAAGACAACGCCACGTGAGATAAAGAGGTGCGTTGCAAAACCCAACAAATGGAGATTCAATCATGTTCTATTTGCTGACTAGTATTTAAAACTGTGCAGACCTGCTTCCACGCAAAGCTGTCATTGCGGGTTTTGATTATGCACTATCAATTTCGCCGCCCAGATTGTGACCCGACTTAACTCTATCTTGTTTCTTCTGTTACAACTTGGATTTGATTTCACCCAATTAAGTTTCATCTTGTAAATGAGCATTTCGCAAATAAGTAGACAATTTGCTCTTTATAAATGAAAGAGTCCCACATGCAGCATTTTCCAAAGTATCTTACTCAAGAGGTTTTTTTTCTCTTTTTTGTTTTATTTTTTATAATCATTACAATTGAGTCAGGTTTAAATACTGTCAGATTTAACTCAGGACAATTCTCATAATAAGGTCAAAGTTTGAAACTTATTCATTGAAAAAAAAAATTAAATCCTTTGTAATCAATCCAACCATTATTAGTAAGTTATGTAAAACCTTTCTACCACTAAACATAAATTTAATTACTCTTTGGTGTATTCTTGCTAACAACTTATTTTAATTAAAGTAGCAAAGATATAATCATTCAATCAAAACTATTAAATTTTAGTTGAAAAATTATGGACATATTGTATTTTGAACGTAAAATGTAAAAACTTAACAAAAAAATGCACAGATATATATAAATAAATAAATAAATTGATATATTGATTACGAATAGAAATATAAATGTATTAATATTAAATTATACGATATGCTTTCTTAAACAAACATACAAAACTGTAAGACCCAACAAAATACGCAAAAGTTTGGCCAAAAAAAAAAACAAGATACGCAAAAGAGAAAAGAGTAGCCAAGGTATTTTATAACGATAGGGGAAAGGGTACTATACTAATATGTTTCACCCTTTGCAATTCACATTACAGTTGGTATTTTCATGAATTATGGCGGCCTATGCCGCGAACGCAATAAGCCCTGCCTCTCCGTGAGTTCTTCTCTGTTTCGCTCATCATTTTGCCTAATACGATTGCTTAATGTTTGATCCCGCTCTTCATTCTTCTTTCTGTGGCTTCTCTTGCGATTCTTCTTCATCCAACCTTTTCAATTTGAGACATCTTATTCATCAAGTTCATTCATTTCGCGCGGAGAATTTCAGGAAAAAAGATAAATGAAACCTGAGAAGCTTTCAACCTCCCCTGATCTTCCTTATTTCTGGTCTACTTTCTTCAAATCAAGCCCATATTAAAGACAACGATTTCAAGTACCCCCGATTACTCTTTTCTGCTCTTATCCTCGTCTGTTTTTGCGCCAACCATATAAAAGCCATGATTTCCCCCCCTTTCATGGTATCTCTATGTTTGAAAATCAGAGTTGATTCGCCAAGGCGTTTATATTGATGTTTTTATAGGCGTTTCTTCACAGACAGGATAGGCTTGTGATTACGGAGTTATTGTCGCAGAATTCTGGATAAGGATTGGAGGAAATTTCACCAAATGGGGTTGTTGCCGTTAAACCCGAACCCAGAAAGCGAGCAAGATGGTGGGACGAAAAATAGTGCTATGGTGTATCTCAATGTATATGACCTTACACCTATGAACAATTATTTTTACATGTTTGGAATTGGAATCTATCATTCGGGAATTGAAGGTATGAGGTTTTAATAATATTGGCTGGCTGTATAATCCTTATGGTTCCTTTGCTGCAAACTTTTAAAATTTTGCGTTTTCAGCGCTTTATTTTTCTTTGCGTGTGTTGTAGGAAATTCTCATACTGCCTTGGATATTAGCTTGGTTATAAGAGAAATAATTTCCATCATTATTAAATGATATCATGTTCCATTTTGAACATTGAAATGAAGAGGAAAGCAGATTCCAATATTTACATATTGGATAGAAGTTGCTGTGATGACGTATCCTCGAATAGAAAAGCTATCTTACTGTCTGTTGCATTATTTTATAATCGAGATTACAAAATATGGATGTAGAAGAATGCACTGTATAGCGGTGAAAATAGGAAATAATGGTTCAAATGATCATCCTAAGGTTTTAACTTGTTTCCTTCTTTGCTACTGTTCGCCCTTATGCGCCCAAGATTTAGGTGAAGCAAACTTTTTAAACCAAAGAATTCATTCATTCATCTTGCTTTTCTCTATGTTGATCTTTTTTTTTTTTTTTTGGGGTGAAAATCTCTGTTGATCTTTAGGTTGACATGTACGTGCTTTTTGTCAAGTTATTAGGTAAATCTTAACCATCTGGACAGAAGAAGAAAGAAAGGGGGGGTGTAGGCTTGGCCAATGGATTTATGATTTATCAGACACTAAGGACTTTCTTGAAATATCATCGGAAGGTCAAACGTGGATGATCATTTAATAATTGTGTTAGTATACCAGAGGGAATTTTTCATTCAAACCTAGTATCATGGCCTAATAACACGAAATTTAGTTCCTGGCTATTATACCTTCTCTGTTTGAACAAGCTTGGGACATGCTATGCTAAGCTAATTGACAAGGAGACAATGTGAATAAGCAAAGAACTAAAGCAGTCGTACTATAAAGATAAAGATGTTGAATCATGCTGCTTGAACAAATACTGACTAGGAGCCTGCACACACTGCTTTATTTTTCCAATACAATGTTATAACAAGGTATAGCTTATCTTGTTTATGGACAGTGCATGGTATGGAATATGGCTTTGGAGCTCATGAGTACCCAACAAGTGGTGTCTTTGAGGTGGAACCTAGAAGCTGTCCTGGCTTCATCTTCAGGCGATCAGTGTTCTTGGGTACCACAGATATGTCTATTTCAGAATTCCGTTCTTTTATGGAAACCCTCGCCAGTAAATATCATGGAGACACTTACCATCTGATTGCCAAGAATTGTAACCATTTTACAGATGAAGTCTGCCAACAACTAACTGGAAAGTCTATACCTGCATGGGTAAATCGGTTGGCTCGAGTAGGTAAGGAACCTCTCCGCATATGATTTGCCTTTTCATCTTTGATTATAGTGTATGCTATAAGGTTAGCATGCTTATGTAATACATAATACAGATGCGTATGCTGCCTTCCATTCTACCCGTCATTTATATTTTGAATTAGATGCTTCTCTGTCTACACCAAATGCCTATACTGGGAGTTTCGGGAATTAGCAATTGACGGTTAACTCTGGCTGTTACTTTTGGAATCTGGTGACTCCCCTTGCTTGTTTTGTTTTCATCTGATCAAATTTTATTTAAAGTTTCAGGTTCTTTCTGCAATTGTCTCCTGCCGGAAAGCCTTCAGGTTGCTGCAGTTGCACATATTCCAGAACGTTTGGCAAATTCTGGTGAGACTATGCAACAATCCTGTGTAATTTTTAATCATATTTCTGCAATATCACGATTTTTATATATTTCTACATTTTAGTACTCATTGATGAAAATGCGGAAGAAAACCTTAAAAAATATTATGTGGTGAAAGAAGAAAAGGAGGCAAAGCATGAACTTGCTTTCCTTTGCCCTTTTGAACATTGGAAGATATTCTAACGTATTTAAACCACACAACAAACACAAACACGTATTTGACATCAAACCACCTTTGTTAATTATTGAACTACTTGCATATGAGGGAGATCTCAGGTTTTATTTTTGGAAAGAAAAACAGTTACCTTCTATGATAACAGCGATCATTTATCACTGGTTTGCGTCGCATGACCCTCTGGACTTAGAAAAATGGAGTTTTGTTTTGCCTCTATTCTCCATGTTTGATAGTAATCTTCCCTGGGGTCTCTAACTGTGTGCCATTATAGATGATGAGAGATCAGACTCTGGGGGGTTGTCTTCGTCTGGGGACAGTGAAAATGAGGATGCTGATCAAAATCTGTTGACTGCACCTAATGTTGGTGAAGTGGCCTTTGTAAAGGAAAATCCTGTGCGCCTGGCGCGTGAGCTCTTGTGATTCTCGTTTGGTCAATTGACGTCGCATTCAGAGTTGAACAAACCTCTATAGTTTCCATATGGTATACCCACAAAGTAATGTTTGTAATTTTAGTGCTATCAGGATGCTGCTGTAAATTTTTGTACTACTCAATATGTCTGCACTGCACTTTATATCTCTCTCTGTAGAAGCGACTCCTTTGGCCAGCATGACGACCGCTTTTTTAATTTTGAGTGACGAGTGTATAAATTTTAGTGAGTTGGGAAACGAGCAAAGTATCATTCGTCTCGACGGGTTGCTAAAGATTAATGAAGGAATTTCACTGTTACTTGATTCTGAGTTTCTGGCTGCACCCTCTTAATTTATTACCTTTCTTTTTCTTCTTCGCATGGTTTTTAGGGTGCCTTATAGGCGAAAATGCAGGTTAGACTTTAATCACCCCGCGTTAAAAAGCAAGCCCTATGTTACTTAAGCGTACAAAAATCCAAAGGCTTTATGTAAAGTGATTCTAGGTGTCTGCAGAATCTGCTTTGCAAAAAACTAGACGTTGCGTGTTTACTTGTCAATTTCTCCTCCACCCCTAGCATCAAAGTAACATTTAGGCCTGAATCATAAAAGCAACCGGAAAGAAGGAGATTCACATGTCTATTGTCTAAAGCCCTGATCTTGCGTCATTTTGGCATTCTCTAGAGATGAATGCATTCAGAAGCTTCCTCATGCTTTTCTGGTTTTCCATATTCCATGGCTCAATTAAAGAGCTGAATGCAAATTCCCCTGCAACCAAGTGCAGTGATTAGGGTCCTCTTATCCATTATCCTCTTGAGATGAAATGAAAGGCCAGCTTCCTCACTGCCAAACACCCTCTCATGCGAAGCTGTGAAAACTGCTGCAATTCTTTTTTAATACAATCCTTATCTCTCAGGCAACACTCTGGGTCCTGGATTAACCTGGGACATGCTATAATCTGACCAAAATCAGACGAGATTCGCACAGGTTTATTAACTCAATGTCCAGTTGAGGAATATTGTGGGTGTTGATGATTGGTGTTCATCTTACCAAAAGTTTGAATGTTTTCTGCGGTTGCATTAAGCATAGGCTTCTTGAGCCTATTCGAACTGGCGACAGTGGTCATCATAAAGATTAATGGTACGACGAAATTGGGTAAGAATGAGGAACGGCATTTATTGGAGAGCTTGACAGCCCACAAATGCATTATAGGGACAGTTGTTGTTAGCCAACGATGAGGACAAGGCAACATTTACGTATACTATTCGCTACAAAATACCGACCAAGCGTTGAATTTGGAAATAAGTTACTCATTTGTACCTCCATAGGAGTATTACGTTTCCTGTTCCTAGGTTGTACAAAATCAACGTGCTCCTGTTTTAATAAATCATTATTACTAACACATTTCCATTGTGTTCGCTGGATCACTGCTCATGCTCCTAAGCATAATACATAATGTTATTTAGTGTCTGTCTCTTTTCCTTAATATAAGTCGGAAAATAAAATCAAAACTAAAGACAGACTACTTAAAAAAAAAAAAAAAAGCAAATCACATAACAACGTCCGCTGTGAGGAGCTTTTTCGGTTTCGAAGAATCTGAGCTGAGGCAAAATGGATTCCGTAGGCCATGGCAAGCGAGCACGTGGCCTAACTTACCAGTTTCACTTTTATAATAAATGATATTTTCAAAAATACCCCCGGAAGGATTTAGAAGGAACTGATATTCAAATGCAAACAAGTTCTTTGGTTTGCACGGCTTTTCAGTTTTGAGTTTGACAGCTATGTACTTCCTCCGTTGTTATTCACTTGTTCTGATGGGAAAAAAAATGCACAGAGATAGGGAAATTTATGTATTGTATTAATTAAGTCTTGCCCTTCATTTAATACCACACTATTTTAAATCTTAATTACTTTCAATGATGGTATTACTAGAAATAAGTAATAATTATACATTGCAATCTAAAACAAAATTTATATATAGAAACAAAATAAAAATGTAAATTAGAACAAAGAAAGTATTATACTTAGGAATGACGAGAGTAGTTAATAAAATTATGACACTTCCAACTCCCAAGCGTGATAAAGATAGGATGAGCAATGGGGCATCAGCTTATTGACATATTTCTTTGATTAATTATTGAAAAGGAAAAATAATGTGGCCCCTCATGGATTGTGATTCTCTCCACAAATTCTTTATTTTCGAAAGGAAAGTATAACTTGACAAGCTAGAAACATAAGTGATCATCATGAGATTCGTGTTTCAATTGTGCCAGATTGTTCATATCTACAAAAATATCAAACAATGGCCCTTCCTTCACTGTGTCTCCTCTTCGTCCTCTCCGTGGCCTTCTCCTTCATCCCATTTTCACATTCATTGCCCTTTATAGTACTCCACGGTATTTGTTTCATCTCTCGTACTTTTATTGTTTTTCATATAACCATTTGGATTTCTCTCTTTCTATTTTCAGTCTGTTTCACAAACTTTATCCGTATTGGTTTTCTTTGTCACCCACATTGAGTGGACGTGCTTGATGATTGAATGTATCTGTAACAGTACACGTATTGTAACTGAGAAGGCCTTTTCATTTCTAACAGTACACTGCTTAAGGTAAAATAAATCCCCATCGTCTTTCCTTTTTTTTAATGGTAGGCATCAATAGTTCGTGCACTATCCATGAAACTCCAAAAATCGTTGAGAAATTGACCAACTTCTCTGGTGCTGAAGGACATTGCCTGTAATGCCTCCCTAACTTGTCTATTAGTTTCCTCACAGTATGCTGCAAACTAACTCTCTCTCATATCTGAGGCAATCTAGTATTGGATACAGAACATGCATGCTATATTTTAATCTTGTTTAATGAGGCTGTCTCATATTGCTCCAGAGAGGTAGGCAATGGAGTTCAGGATTCGTGGTTCTTGCCCATGCACAAACAGGTAATATATCAGCAAAGAATTAACAGTAATCAATGTCAATATTAAACTGTCAGAAGTCATACTATTTACAAGTTATAAATAATACAACTTATCTTTCAGACTCCATAAGAAGAAAAGAGTCTGGTGAAGTTAGAAACGGGCCGAGGCATGCCAGTTCTGATGGTTTTGACTATTTTAACTTGTGAATTGCAGGTCGATATGGTTTGCCAGAAGGTAATAAAGATTTATGAACCATTGTGTAATGTATCTCACCTGAATTTTGCAGTTAACGTTGTCTTTTGACTACTTTCTTACCTCACAATGTGTAGGTTAAGAAAATGAACATATTGCGTGAGGGCTACAACATTGTTGGGCTCTCCCAGGTGGAATATGAGAACTCGATTTCTCTGTTTTACTTTCTGTCTGCTTTATTTCAAAATTATGCTTCCATGTTTATTTCGCGTTAAATGCGAAATTACTAAATGTGATCACATTAATTCATAACTTATCATTTGGTTTGGAATGTCAGTCAATCAACAAGTCAAGATATTAATTAATGGCATCTGACTTATCTTAATGTTTCATCAAGTTGCTTGTATCATGCTCATGTTCAATTCTTGAAATTTTCGGCCTTCAATGTTTAGAATTCAAACCTTCTCTTCTTGGGTTTCGTTCGTGTTATTGCCTTGTTCGACAGGGTAATATGATTGCTCGTGGTCTTATAGAATTTTGTGATGGAGGTCCTAAGGTAAGAACCCATTATCTTTGTCACTATTTTTTCGTTTTTTTGTACAATTGAAAACTTAACCAATGGTGATGGCCCCCCCCCCCAAAAAAAAACTTAATACAATACTAAATAGTTCCTCCACTCCTTTTTGTAAGAGCCTATTAACCATTAGATAAAGTAGACTAGTAAAAATGTCCAAAATTTTTACAACCTTCCAAAATTACCCTTTGATTAATGTGGTTCATGAGGGGAGAGGGTATGGAAAAGCCATTGTCTAAGAGGACATATTTTGAAATGAAACTCAAATTTTTCATTAAATTTTAGAAGGGGTCTTGTATCAAGAACCAATAGGTAATAAGACCAGAGGGAGTATTTTATATGACAAACATTAATGATTTTTCCCTTTTGAGTATTAAAACAGGTTAGGAATTATATATCTTTGGCAGGCCCTCATGCCGGTGTTGCCTCTGTTCCTGAATGTGGCGTGAGTATCACTGTGACTTTTCAGCCATTCTAATTATTTGATAATTATACTTTTTCTTCTCTGTTTTCGACTTGGAATGTTGTTTGTTTGGCTTCCACAGTCAAGTTCCTGGTGCATTCGTGTAGCCCATCTAATCAAATTAGCGGTTTACCGTGACTTTGTTCAAGTAATCACTTTACCATATCTTTAATTTCAAAAAGTTGCCCCTTTTTGTGGTTCGTTTGTCTATTTCATCGCATGAGGATTCATTAGTGTTCACAGTTTACGCTTCTATTACTGACATACCTAGCTCAAATCTGCAGGAACACTTGGCTCCTAGTAATTATGTTAAAATACCAGATGTAAGTGTTGCTTTCCACATGTTGGAGGCTTCTGATCAAAGAAGTCTTAAACTAACACGGAAAGCTGCTTAGGTTTAGTTGTCGTCTGATATTTTCCAAATCAAAATATCTTTTTCCCGCTGTGGAGGGAATTGCTGAGCCCAAATTTGCTTGTAGGCAATCCATGATTACTTGGAGAAATGTAGTTTTCTTCCCATGCTTAACAATGAACAACCGGATACCAAAAATTCCACGTACAAGAAAAGATTGAGTAGCTTGGAGAACTTGGTGCTTATCATGGTAAGTTGAACCAGTAAGATAGTTTTTCTTTGATATCTTATGAATATCGGGAATTGACTTTTTGAGAACGCTAATTTATTTATCCGTCTTATTTTGTACGCTACAAAGTTCGAGAATGAAACAGTATTAATACCGAAGGAAACTTCCTGGTTTGGATATTATCCCGATGGTTCCTTCAAGTCCGTTTTATCCCCCAATCAGGTTAGGATTCTCAATTCAATATTCAGACGTCACAACCTGAAATTTATGTGGTTATCCTTAAACTTGGGAATTGATTTGAATTGCAGACGAAACTGTATATTGAGGATTGGATCGGGTTAAAGAGCATGGATGAAGGTGGCAAGGTTAAATTCATTAGTGTTGGGGGAGATCATCTGCAAATATCAGACAAAGATATGCAGAAGTATGTAGTGCCTTACTTGAAGAGGGGTGCCTCAACCAAATCTGGAAACGTCAAGACCTTTGTCTCCAAGAAGTTGGGATCCTAACTTGGAGCAATTTGGTCAAGAAGAAAGAGTCTTCAGAGCATGCTTGATTATTATCACAAGGTCAACTATGTTATTAAGATACTACCAGCTAAAGGTCTGGATTGTTATGTAACAGCAAGATTTAGTTCTGTGGTTAAGGGATTTTAGAAACTCTCAAGAGCATTAAAAAAAAAAAAATTTCAAGCAAGTTGAAACAAAACTTTTCCCTTATATCAGATTTCATAAAATCACTTTTAAAAAGTCAACACAAATATCCACTAGATAGTCAACTGGGCAGCTGTACTGTATAGGTACATGTAAGCACAACACTGTATATTGTACCTGGCTCATTTACATTCAATAAAATCCAGATCCATATTTTCTATCCATATGCTCGGCTTTTGGCGGATCTTAGTGGGAAAAATTAGGCTTATATTAACAGATTTGTCATGACCTTTGATTATGTATCTTAGACTCGCTAATTTAAAATCCAATATCTCAGGCATTGCTCTGGGTTTTGGATTAACATGGGACATACTAGAATATTGGAGCGAAGACAGGCGAGATTCGCACAGATTTGTTAACACAATGTCCTGTTGAGGATTATTACGGGTATTCATGTAACCAAAAGTCCGAAAGATTTGTGCAGTTGCATTAAGCATAGGCCTCTGGAATCTATTTGGAGTAGCGACAGTGAAATGATCAAATCATAAAGATTAATGGGAAGACGAAATTGGATAGGAGTGAGTATTCGGTTTTTCGGTTCGGTTATCGGTAATAAACAAATTAACCGAATAATCGAATAGAGTAAATTTTAAACACTGAACCGAAACCGATTAACCGAACTAACCGAAAATTTCGGTTCGGTTAACCGATTAACCGAAATATATAAATATGGAAAATGATTTTAAATTAAAAATAATAATAAAACACAATTAAAACTATTAATTAATAAATATTTCATCATTCTATGTGATTTATTATAATAATATTCATTATAACCATATTTATTGAATATAAATATATTTAAAAAGTTCACATATATCCACATATATATTTATTGTAATAATATTTATTAAATATAAATATATAATAGATTTATTTCGGTTATTCGGTTATAACTGAAATTTTTTTTTCCTACTAACCGAACCGAACACCGAAACCGAATTGTTTAAAAAATAAAAACAGAATATATATAACCGAAAACCGAAATAACCGAACCGAAAAACCAAAATTAAATTCTGTTCGGTTCGGTTTTCGGTTACGGTTCGGTTTTGCTCACCCCTAAAATTGGGTAGGAACAAGGAACGACATTTATTGGAGGGGTTGGCAGAATTGGTGGTGCCCATAAATGCAGAAGTGAACAGTTGTTGTTAGTCAACGATGAGCAAAGCAACATTTATACAATTCGCTACGCAGTACCCACTAAGCGTTGAACATGGAAATAAGTTTGCAACTCCATATCAAGTTTCCTAGTCCCAGATTGTACAAAATTAACGTGCTCTGTTTTGATAGGATGAGCAGTGGGGCATCAGTTTATTGAAAAGGGAAAGTAATGTGGAATTGTGATTCTCTCCACAAATTCTTTATCTTTGAAAGGAAAGTAACAAGACAGAAATAGAAGTGATCATGACTTTTTTTAAAAAAAATTTTGCACTTAAAAAAAAGAGAAAAGTGCAAATAAAGACAGCCAAATATATAAAATTATGATTTGGAACTCTTAATTTGGAAAGTAACAAATAAGGACCCGGTTTCACTTTGGCAAATATAAAATCATGGTGAAATGTCTGAAATGCCCCCTAACCAAATTGTGATTTGGTCTACTGAAGTTGTCATTTGATAAAGTAAACTTGTCATTTTTCATAGTCAACTCGTCATTTGGCATACCCTCAGTCAAGTTGTGATTTGCTCTACTGAAGTTGTCATTTGATAAAATGAACTTATCATTTCTCATAATCAACTTGTCATTTGGCTGAGGGGCATTTTAAATATTTCACAATGATTTTATATTTACAAAAATAGGATCAGGTCCTTATTTACTATTTTTCAAATTGAGAGTCGCAAATTATAATTTTACATATTTGACTGTCTTTATTTGTAATTTTTTTCAGAAAAAAAGTCCCCATACCCTTTGAATGCGTTTACATTGATTAACGGTGAACCAAAAAACAAATTAAAGTGGAGGTGCTTTCATACTGACCCCTTGATGCTCTCTCACCCTAATGTTTAATCGTGTTTATTATACTTTTCATTATAATAATATAAAAATGTAATCAATCAATATAGCAAAACAAAGGACGCGTCACATTATCAGTTTATCACAATCTTTCGTTCTGGAATAGTGGACAATTGTACATCCCATTTCGCTGCCGTCATATTTATGTATTCACATTATACCTTACTAATGAACCCTGTGAAATAGAAATAAATGCACTTCTGTTCTCCTCAGAAGTCTCACCAGAAGTGCATCTCATCGCTGCCCTTTTATTTCTTCTTTAATTGCATTAACTTTCTTTTTGCCCCTTGTTCAATTGCATTTATGTCAATGAATTCTATTCTCCCCTTTCCATAAGTTCATAGACACACACACACACCAATTGGGTTCATATCTACAAAACTACTCATCAAACAATGGCTCTTCGTTCACTGTCTCTCCTCTTCGTCTTTTCCGTGGCCGCCTTCTCCATCCCATTTTCACATTCAATACCCTTTATAGTACTCCACGGTATTTGTTTCGTTCTCTCTGCTTCATTTTTTTTCTCAGAAGCATTTGGACTCTTTTCTCTCTATTTTCAGTCTGTATTCATATTGGTTTTCTCTGTCATCCCCATTGGGTGGACGTGCCTGATGATTGAATGTATCTGTTGCTGGAGTGCCTCTAGCAGTAGACTGTTTAAAGTATAATAAATCCTCATCGTCTTTATTTAATGACAGGTATCAATAGTGAGTGCTCTCGCCCTGAAGTCCAAAAAACCGTTGAGAAATTGACCAACTTCTCTGGTGTTGAAGGACATTGCATGTAATGCGTCTCTAACTCGTCTATTAGTTTCCTTATAGTATACAGCAACTAACTCTGTTTTATATCTAGGCCAGTCTGGTATTAGATATAGAACAGGATATGTTTTCGACATGTTTAATGAGGTTGTCTCATCTTTCTCCAGAGAGGCAGGCAATGGGGTTTCTGATTCGTGGTTGATGCCCATGCACAAACAGGTAATATATCATCCAAAGAATCAACACTAACCAATATATCGATATTAAATCTCAGAATTCATACTCCTTTTTACAAGCTATGAATAATACGCCTTTTCTTTCAATCTCCATAAGAAGAAATGAGTCTGGTGAAGTCAAAAACGGGGCATGCCAATTCTGATGGTTTTGACTATTTCTACTTGTGAATTGCAGGTCGAGATTGTTTGCCAGAAGGTGATAAAGACTCATGAACCATTGCGTAATGCATCTAACTTGAATTTCGTAGTTAACGTTGTCTTTTGACTAATTTCTTGCCTCGCAATGTGCAGGTTAAGGAACTGAACATATTGCGTGAGGGGTACAACATTGTTGGGCTCTCCCAGGTGAAAATGAGAACCGCCATTGCTCCGTTTCACTTTCTGTCTGTTGCACTGCAAAATGCTGCCGTGTCGGTTTCCCGTTAAATGCCAAGTCACTTTTTTTTTTTGGGGGATTATAAATGCCAGTTGCCAAATAACTAAATTTGATCACATCAATTCAAAACTTGCCAATTACGAAATCACTTTTCTTTTTGTAATGTTTCAACAAGCCGCATGTATCATGTCGATGCTCAATTCTCATAATTTTTTGTTTTCAAAATTTCAAGCCTGATCTTTTGGATTGTTTTCCTTGACAGGGAAATATAATTGCTCGCGGTGTTATAGAATTTTGTGATGGCGGTCCTCCGGTGAGAACCCATTATCTCTGTTAAGTTCTATTTGTATACTTCAGACTTTAGCCAAACGCTGATAGCCGCAAAAACTTTAATACAATACTAAATGCTCCTTCTGGCTCTTTAAAGAAACCTGTCAACTACTTTCATGGAAAGTTAGTTAAAATTAGTAAAGTGTTCAAAATTTTTACTTCTTTTCAAAATCACCTTGAAATGGTAGGTTCATTGGAGGAGAGAGGGGATGGAAAAGCTATTGTTGGAGAGGGAATTTTTTAAATTGATGTTCAAATGTTTCATTATATTTTGGAAAAGGTCTTATATTAATGATAGATAGATAAAGTTATATAAATAGTATGGAAGGGATCAAATTCCATGAGAAACATCATGATTTTTCCTTGTTGAGTGTTGAAACAGGTTAAGAATTATATCTCTTTAGCAGGCCCTCATGCTGGTGTTGCCTCTGTTCCTAAATGTGGCGTGAGTATTATCACTCTGGTTTTCCAGCCGTTCTAATTCTTTGATAATTTCCTCTCTCTCTCTCGACTTGGAATGATTTTTGTTTGGCTTGTACAGTCAGGTGCCCTGTGCATTATTGTAGACCAACTAATCAAATCAGCAGTTTACAGTGACTTTGTTCAAGTAATCACGCTATCTTTACTTCCATAAAGTTGCCCTTTTTTCTCTATCGAAACTATTCTATCTAGTTTGTTTATTTGTTGCTTCATATTAGGAATCATTAACGTTTGCAGTTCACAAACTGACATGCCGAGCTCAAACCTGCAGGAACACTTGGCTCCTAGCAATTATCTTAAAATACCAGATGTGAGTATTACTTTTCATATGTTCGAGTGACAGGAAAGCTGCTTAGCTCTAGTTGTTGTCTGATATTTTCCAAACAACTGCTGAGCCCAAACTTGTTTGTAGGCAATCCATGATTACCTGGACAAATGTAGTTTTCTTCCTGTGCTTAACAATGAATACCCAAGTACCAGGAATTCCACTTACAAGGAAAGACTGAGTAGCTTGGAGAACTTGGTGCTTATCATGGTAAGTTGAACTTGAAAGGTAATTTTTCTTTGATATTCTATAATATTGGGAATTGATGACTTTTTGAGAACGCTAATTTATTTATCCGCCTTATTTCATACGCCACAAAGTTTGAGAACGACACAGTATTGATACCAAAGGAAACTTCGTGGTTCGGATATTATCCCGATGGTCGCTTCGAGCCCGTTTTATCCCCAAACCAGGTAGGATTCTCAATTTAATGTTCACTTCACACGTCACAACCTGGAAGTTATGTTCACTGTAGTACGAAATGGTGGTTATCCTTAAACATGATTGTGTTCCTGGTATTGCTGGTGATTTGATCTGAAATGCAGACGAAACTGTACAGTGAGGATTGGATTGGCTTAAGGAGCCTGGATGAAGGCCGTAAGGTTAACTTCGTTAGTGTTAGGGGAGAACATCTGCAAATATCAGACAAAGATATGCAGAAGTATGTAGCGCGTTACTTGAACGGGAATGCCTCAACCAAATCCGGAAATGTCAAGACCGTTGTCTCCAGAAAGTTGGGATCCTAACTCGGAGCAATTTGCTCAAGTCTTGGGGGCATATACTTGATTATAAAGACAAGGATATCAGCAGGAAAAATTACAAGACACATGTTTAACAGATTTGCTATAACCATTGATTATGTACCTTAGACTCTCTTGCTTTAAGCAATAAAAATTTAAAAAGTAAATCTTATAACTATCATATTCTTATGGTTTTTTGACAGTAGCCATTCTTCATTATTTTAAATTACTGTTTTCCTTGCACAAAACTCGGAGCAAGCGGAATGACCTCAAGGGCTCATCATTTGGATTCAAGACAGCAAACAAGAGAAATAAATATATACAAGAGGGAAATAAGAGGTTCAGGTTCAGCCATGAGGAACAGGGAATTGTTATTGATTTCCGCTCTCAGAAGACATGGATATCAACACTGATGCCTCCCAAATGATTGCCGGTGGAAGCCTGCCGGTGGCGACCATATCTCAGCCAAAGGCAAGATATTCTTGCCAATGCTGCCTGTCCCACAACCCGTACACGGCAAACCAAACTCACATTTGCCCATATTTCCCTTCCCATAGCGGGCTCATAACCTTCCACGTCTGACTCCGTTACCACAACTACTGAACCGTCATCAAATGTTACAAGGTCTAGCGAAGCTCCCGTTGCTGCAGGTGCCTTTATTATTAGGTTGCTTGCGGGAGCATAGGTCATAGCTTTCCTAACCCTAAGGTGGTAGTATTCCTGAACAGCCTGAAATTTCAACATTAAAATTATGTCAGAAACTCACAGCCCCTACTATAATAAATTCTCAACACAATTCACATCATGAGAAATTTTCTCGTCTTTTTTGGGCAACTGAGTTGTCGCTGAGAATCAGATCAGAGCTACGGTGCATTTAAAAGTTCTCACAACACAGTCCGTAAACCAATCATAACTAATAAGTAATAATAACTAAAATGACATTTCAGACTCACTCGCCACTGAGAGGAAGCCAGAAGAACCCTTGGTCGAATTGACTTCACATAATCATATGCAGCACTGGGCGTCATAAGCTTGTGATGGACCTATACAGGGGGGAAAAAAAAAATCGAATAAATTGTGGGAGCTGCCAGTAAATCGTAACACAATCATGTTTTTCCTTCTCTCCTCTTGTAAGGGCGAGGCACCAACCAGGTAACAGATGACAACAGTTGTGCTGCGACCGCGGCCAGCTTTGCAATGGACATATGTAACCCGTCCAGCCAACGCATTTTCTTCATAACAAGAACAATCATTAAAAGAGAATCAAATTGAAACCAATTGGAAAATACCAAGTCTAACTGTATACTATAAGTAACATTGAATAAAATCTTTACATTTACAAGCCTTCTACTGGCGTTCACTGATACCTAGTGTAGCTCAACTTTTCGTTTCTTTCATATTCTTCTTTTATCAGTGCTCAAAGGAAGACAGTGTTAACGGTAAAGAGAAATAAAATGCGGAATAGAAGGGAAGCAAAAGGCATAAATTGTTTGAATATAACTCATCAACTTTGGTTTTTCCATATGGGTAAGTAAGAAACTTAAATTACAGCTAACATCAAAGATTTCAAGGTTCTGTTGTCAAACAAATGCTTACCATGAATGAAGTCTACAGCAGAGCATATGTCATGCAATGAAGGTGCGAAACAGTAATCTCTAGTAGGAATCACAAGATGGTCAATTCCATGAGCCTGGCAAGTTTAAACATGAATTAAACCATAAATGAACACGATGAAAAGACACTAAACATAAAATCATTGAAACCACTAGATTTAGTTACAGTTTCTAAGATGATTCCCGTTAAGCTCTAAAGGCAAAAGGAATGTGCCATTCTTTTCAGGACAAAAACATGTCGTGCTAAATTACAAAAAATTCCACTTGTATAAGGTTATATCCATTATCGAATGCCATTAAGCCAATGAAACATTCATAAAAAATTACAGGAGCCCAATCTATCAATTAGCTGAATAAGTTGGCAGTGTTTCTATTCAGTGTGAAGTGCGAAATGTTCATCACAGGCAGCAGAAAAAAACCTATATACAGAAAACTCACGTGATAAAGTGAGGTTGGCACCAAAGTCTCATATGACTCATTCAATGTGATGACTCCTCGAACACCCAGCTCCTTTAGGCGGGGAACATCAACAGGAAAGGGAACAGCACCTAATAATATGAACTGAAAAATAAGTGCATCAGAATATAGGAGAAGGTCACTTTCCCCCACCAAAAAAAAAAAAAAAAAAAGGACCATCATGTGTATCCTCCAGCCACAGGAATAAGAACACGCCAATGAAATATAGATATATCTGACCATTGAATAATACGTATATATGGAATCAGAATAAAGGAGAAGCATGCACCACAAAAGAACATAAGAAAATTATGCAACCAAGTACCAAGTAAATATGCATCATAGAAACCAAAAATAACAACACACCATTGAAAAAACATACATCTGATAACTAAAGTTTACACATCTACGCTGAGCAAAGAACTGTACATTGAAGCTTCTAATTCAAAAAAAATACTCACATATATCATATAACTCCATCAAAACCCCAGAAGAAGAAAAGTGATCACTAATCAGAAACACATGAAAACCCCACAATGACATAGATGCATTACAGATTATACTGACAAAATGAAGCCCATATAGGGTCTCGTGCTGCTTCAGAAATAAATGGAAAAAATAATCCAACCTTTGCATCACAATGCAGTTCTCTCTTTTGTGAGAGAAATCACAGCAGCTACAATGAAGTGAAATGCAACAGATGTCTAAAATCAAACATCCTAAAATCACATATTAGAAGAAGGAACACTAAACGAAGGACCAAAACACAGATTGTAGCCAAGACGATGGAAAATTAACTTCCAGCTGGCCAAATTAGATTCAACTATCCTCCTGAAACTCTAACATAACCCCTTTACAAAGGCATCAACTCCTAACTACGTAACCAATTGAATCCAAGACCAGAATTTGGGTATAACAGTCAAAGGCACCATGATCACCAGAGAATCAGTATTGCACATGCACCCGCACCAATCATACCGTCATATGCAGAATAAAGCGATCGGAAGAGTTGCTTTTTGGTTAAGATTCGCATTAGGTTAAATCCAAAGCAAACACTCTGCCAATTGGGTAAATTACATACAAGATTAGCAACCCACAAGCATTCTACCCTCCCTCTACATAAACACAATCACACATGCTAAATTAGGGCTAATGCATAAAAATGAATTTGCCAAGAACATCAGAAAAGCAATAGTTGATCAAATAGGACCAAGAAATAATCTAGTTAATACTATCACCGGATAGCAAGCAATGACACTCATGATTCATCCAGGGGGAAAAAATTCCACCCAGTCATGAAAGCCTGATATCACTGTACATGAAGAGAAAATCAGGAGGTTACAAAACTATACCTCATCAACCTTATCCCACCACCGAAACTCGGCCTGCACCTTATTCCTGACGACATTATAAAGCAGAGTGGGGTAGAAGAGAGCACGAGCGCCCGCTCCAACCAGAGCCCTTTTCGCATCCGATACGACAAAACTAGCCGCGCCAATAACACCATTTCCGATATATACTTTCCCTTCCCCTCCACCCCCCACCTCTTCTCCCTTCAATTCCTCAAGATGCATAACTCTCTTTGCGGTCAGAAAACAATCAGAGCAAAATGCGAAGCTTTACAAAAACCTAAGCAACAAAATTCTATACAGAAATATGAACAAGTGGAAACTTCAATTACACCCCCTCTGTTTCCATGATCAGAACCACCAAACAAGTATATTGATACAGAGGGTACAACTAGAGTGAAAAAGCCAATCGTACCGGGCAGATCACAAGATTCCCACCGGAATTATACCAATTTTGGAACAGGAGGAACACCGAAGAATGGAACAAGAATTCGAAAAGATGAAAGAGAAAACGAAATTTTCCGGAGAAAAGAACAGCATATTAGTTAAAGAATGATCGGACGCTGAAAACAGGGCGATATGATCGTATTATGCAAGAAATAAAATCTTGGTCAGAAAAAATGAAAAGGAAAAGAAAATGAAATTTTGAAATTTGAAAATAGAACTAGAAAACCCGTAAGCCTATGGTTGCTTGTGTGAGAGAATCGCCTAGGTTCCACTCCACCTTTTGCTGAACGATATCTGCATTCTGAAATGAAAAGTAAAGGAGGAAGAAAGAAATCGAGAATGGGAGAATGGGGATGACAGGGGAGGATCTAAAATGACGTGTCTGTGAGATAGAGTCACAAGACAGTCGGAGACGAAATGACACGTGGAGAAGATGGACATATGATGGGGCTTTTCTTTTTTAACTTTTGGGAGCCATTTGCCGACAGCCCTGATATCTGCCAATGATCCGCATCTTGAAATTGTCGGAATAATATGAAAAGCGAAATATAAATTTGATCTTTTAATTTTATAGTATTTGTGAAGCCCAAAATGTGGAGAGATAGCCCATATCAATTCTGGACCAATTGACCCATTTGGAAAATAGATTAATCTGTGTTTTAAATCCATGTTAAAAACTGTCAAAATAAATTTCCGGCTTCCACTAAAGTCACTTAAATATATGGGGTGTTTGGATAGAAATCAAACTATAGTTTCAAAAGTATTTTTACAGTTTTCAAAGTAAATATGTGGAAGAATTTGTCTCGTTTTACGAAAAAATGCTTCTGAAACTATGGTTTAGAAGTTGCCAAACACCTCGTAAAATCAAACACGGTATTAGTGCAGTGAGTAATTTCCACATATAAGAGATAAAGGTCCCCTATCACCCCTCCCCCAATATGGCTAAGTATATGTGAATGTAATCTAAAGAGCAAGATCGAGCGAGGAGAATTAAGTACTACCTCAGATCCTAATTATAAGAATCAGTTGACTAATTTGAGGAAATTAAGGAAATAAGTTGCGTTTGTTATTTGTCCTAAATAGATGTTGTCTTTTTTAAAATATCCTTACTAATTAAGTGTATTGACTAGAACTATCATTATTAGAAGTGCTACTTTGAAAAAAAAAATATAAATATAAGAGACAAAGTGGATTGGGGTTTTATATTTAGGACCAAAATAAAAGTCAAATAGGGTCTTATATTAAGGACCGGAGGTTGTATAAGGTCTTTTTTATGCTACTATTTCTGGCACCTCTTGTTCTAAATATAATTTATCTAATTTTTTGTAATCTGTTTATATAGGTTCCTAAATTTTTACCTTTAGGACCAAAGACAATACATTTTCTCTGCGTCCTCTCACAAAATGATGTTCCATGGGAAAAGAAACATTTTTTTTGGGCCGGGGGGGGAGCCCTTCTGTGGGCCTAAATTGTACAAATATGCAGTATAGATCCAGCTTGACACCATTGACAATCCAAAAGGATAATTTCTCACAAGGCAAATTAGGTCTCGTCTCATCAACAATTTAATTATTTAAAAATAAAAAAAGACAAATTGTTTTTTTTTTTTTCAAATCCAAATTCTCAATGAAGTGATCTAATGGATTTAAGTCAGGAGCTGGCAAGGAAATATACCAACAACTAAACATGGACTCATATAATGTGAAAAATAAGATGCACTATTCATAATTATAAAATATTGTGGCTTTTCATAGATGTTATGTCAAAATACAAATGTATTTTGCATCACCAGAAGCAGTAAGGTCGGGCTTAAGATATATGGCCTATTTGAAACGGCTTATATGAAACGTGTTTATAAATGATTTTGACATTTTGACGACTCTCGCAGACAGACCCATAGAGTTATAGACAGATTTCAGTGATAAGCCGCAGAGAGAAAGGAATTGAAGACAAAAGTGGGACGATGATTTTATGGAAGAGCCAGCGAAGAACATCTAGAGGGATGCGTCTGAACATTAAGAACCGACAAATTGATGGGTCACGGAAGTGTCACTCTCGTGTCAGAACCAGTTAGTTTAAAATTTGAAGAGGAAGTGAAAGCAAACAAAATAATCGTGGAATCCGATGAAGACACAGAAACTGAAGATGATGACCATGTTTTAAACTGGCAGCAAACAACTGAAGTGCCCCTCGGAACGCAGAAATCTCAAAGGCCAATGAAACTTCTTAATGCATCATAACTGATGTGAATAAGAAGGCAAATGAACTCATGGCTTAATCCAGAGACCCTACCATATGATCTTGAAATCTTTTTGTTACCATGGATTAGAATGAATGTTCTCTTCCTGGTCTTCTGGTTGTGTTGTGATTGGAACGATGTCATATATATCTATTTTAAGGATCCATTTAATTTATAGCACAAAAATGGAGAAAGAAGGGTTAACTGAAATGCACTTCCTTTGGAAGCCTGGATGAGCACTATGAGCCATCATTTCAGACAAACAGAAAGGCCTCCGTCTTATCTGTTTCACCCTTTCTTTTGTTCTCTCTTGTCCTCTGCGACAGACCCCAAGCCAGAACTGTTGGTTTTGACAGAAGCAGAAAAAAGAGTTTAATGGAGTTATAACTGTAATTGCATCACCACGTAATATGTATTATTTTGCTCAAACTGTGTCTGCTGTAAAAAAGCTACAAGTACGAGGCAACAATCAGAGAACGATCTGTCGATCATGTTATGGTCAATTTATTACTATTATTGAGAATGGCCATTGAAGAGATTACTCGGGAACATCAAACGTGATGGGCCATAATGATATATTATATGCACCGCTGGCACTGGTGGCCTCGTGCGGTTGAGGTATGAGGTTGAATGTACAAAATAAGTGGGTGGTTTGAAATGGAAACCAGAAACGAATCTTGTGGACTGTTAAACACGAGACAAAGCAGAGAGATGTGGATTTAAATCAAAACCCTGTCTTTTTTTTTTTTTTGGAAGGGGGGGGGGTTGTTCCTCAAATCCATGGGCTGGTATTAGTTTCAGGGAAATGGCTAGACTTCACTGTCACAGAAGGGGCTTTTGGATGACCAAGCTCCATGTGCGAAGTCATGCCTGGAGACCCCATTGTGTCTGATATCCTCTATCTTTGATTTTAGTACAACCATCTGTTTGTGCCAGAAATTTTGTCAATAAATCATAATGACCTGAGAGGGGGATACAATAACCCCGCCCCCCAAAAAAAAACTCCACTTGTAGCCTCACATTCTCATGATTTCATTTCAATAATAATTGCCTTCCTGTGACCAAAAGATAAGGACAGTGAGGAAACGAGGTCCTGTTTGCTTCGAGCTGTCGGCGAAAATAGGTTATGCCTACCTTTTTTCAGAGTCATTGCTGCTACTCGTGTTTCCCTCTGCCTCATTCTAACCTTAACCTCCTTTTTCTATTTCCTACCTTATCCCTTCCACTACATGTTTTATCTGTACATTATAGAACCCTTATTTAAATATCATTTTGTCTTTTTTCACAAAAAATAAATAAATAAATAAAAGGGACTCCAGTTTAGGCAATATATAATGACATCATAAGTTTAAGAAAAAAAATAATAAACAAGGCTTGGGGATAGGACTCGATTGTGCCAAGAGCGTATCAAGAAATGAAGCATTAAGCAGATGCCAAATGACCCCACGTTAAAGGCAAAATCACCATTTTTGGTGAAGGGCTTCTTTAGTCTAATCAAATAATGAAGATTTCGCTTTAATAAATTGCCGAATCTAGAATAGGGAGATATCTAGTGAGAACTGCAACGGTTCAAGTTATGAGTGGAAGCACATTTTTAATTGTCGAAAGAGTCATCATGATCTGATCGAAGAATCGTAATTCCTGGTCAAACCTGGGACTTTCATACTCCCTGAAAATCGGATAACCCTTCCCAGTATGAGACCGACATCTGGGCCCCCCCCCCCCCGTGTTGATTATTATATTTCTCACTGAAAACCGATATTTGTTCACTTCCCAGAAATCCCGCGCCTCAGATTACCATTCTTCTTCTACGCATTTGCTAGTTTCTTTCCTAAATTCAAACCTGACTTTTCTTTGGCTGGAAAACGAGTTAAACCTTATATCTTGGAGAACAAATTCAGCTAACAGCTGAAAGTTTATATTAGACCGCTGCAATATACACAAAGTCTGCCTTTACTCTTCGGAATGCAAAAATGAAAAGTATTAGAAACTAAGCCTAATCTTAAGAGCTGCTAGGTACACCCCCATGGCCCAAAAAACCAACAGTGGTGGGTCAAAACGGTACAAAACAATCGAGACCCACCAAATCATTTCTCCCACCAACCATATCTTAGACACCAACTTTAAACATACAAATAACTCCCGTGTCCCCAATTACAACCGTGTCCCCCATTTTCCAGGCCGTACACGTTCGAGAAGGGGCTTCGATGACCAAAATGTCCAAAGCGCCCCTCACCGTGCTATCATGATCTCGGGTGAAGAACATCGAAGGGCCGGTGAGCTATGGGAGCTGCCGCAGGAGCCCATGGGCCGACGGGGATGGGACGAGCATGAGTTTGGGCCATCGGGTGAGGGCGGTTGCTGCCAACGGCGGCGGCGGCGTAGGGCGGCACGGCGACCCGCTCACATGACGGGCACATGGTGAGGGTTGTGGGTGGGGTCATTTGCATGTACAGCTGTGGGGAGAGTTTCAGTGCTCTAAGCTCCTGAACTTCCTTCTGCAACCGCCTGTTCTCTTCCGTGAGATTCTCGCAGCATCTCTTTAAGAACTCACAATCTACCTCAGTTTGCTTCAGCTTGGTCCTGAAATTCCAGTCCAGATTCCGTAAATTTCTCAATTCTTTCCCGCAAAGAATCTATTATCAACGAAGGAAGATCGCTGAACATATCTTACCTTGCCCTTCTGTTCTGGAACCAGACCTCTACTTGTCTTGGTCGAAGGCCCAGCTGCTTTGCAAGCGCCAACTTTTGCTTCTGCAGAAAAGGAACCAATTCTTTGTTAGGCAAAAAAAAAAGTGTTGGGTTGTTAACTGCTAAGAAAATGAAGATTTTTTCTGTCTATGAGCCGGAAAAAGGAGGAGATGATTCTTACGGGATTGAGGGTATTGTGCTCTTTAAAGCTTTCCTCGAGAATAGCGGATTGATCTTTTGAAAGCCTCAGCTTCTTCCTGGAGGTTTCAGCGTCTTCTTCGTCGCTGATTCCTCGAGAACAGTCTCTGTCGGCGTCGTGCTCTTCTCCGTTGGGCTCTCTCTCACTTCTCTTGCCACTCACGCTGGAGATCGTGCTGTTCGGAGACGAAACACCCGCCTCCTCTTCGCAGTCCACCCCGGAAGGCAATCGATTCACGTCGATTCCTCGCAGGAAAGATCGACCTTCGCCTCTGCATGTTTCAAAATCTCGATCTGCACGTCATAACAGCACGAGTCAGATTAATAATTAACGAGGAAGGATTATTAAATCAACTCACACGCAAAGGGGGAAAAAAATTAATTTTAACAAGAGCTTTGAAGGACAGCATTTAGAAAAGGCGGAACGAAAACGATTGTTCAGTTGCAAAAGACGTACTGAAAAGCAGAAGAGAAAAAATACTAAAAGGGAGGGGCAAATTATTCTGAGTGCGTTCGTTTCTCGGAAAAGAGCCAAGTTCAAAAGTAGAAGGGAAAGCAAAAAAAGATAAGATAAAATAATGAAAAAGTAAGAAAGCAGAACAGATCTGGAACCAGGAAAAAAACCATGCAGAGAAGAAGAAGCACCTGAAGAGGCGAAGGCATCGTTCCAAGAGGGTTTGTGAAGATTGGAGGCAGCAAGAGAAGTAGAAGAAGGGAGGAGATTAAGCTGGAGAGGATTAGGAGGATTGTTGGGGAAGTTCAAGCTGAGACTCAAACCCAGGTCCTCCTTTTCACCCATGGTGTTTATGCGCTGCAGATATAATAAGCCCAAGCTTGTGGGGCGAGAAACGAAATTGGATTTGTGGTGACTAGGAAGGAAGGGAGGGAGGGAGGTTGTGTAAGCTTAGAGGTGTAGAGTGAGGGAGAGGGAGAGGGAGAGGGAGAGGGGTGTGAGAATGATACGAGGGAGAGGCTGGGGGGTTGGGGGGATTATATAGAAAGAACGGAAAGGAAAGGGGGGAGAAACTGTGGAGGGAAGGAAGTGCAATGATGAAGAGTTAATGTCAGGAAGCCCAATTTCCTCAATCATGGCTTTTGCCCCCCTAATAATGGAGACTCTTTTGTCTCTCTGTCCTCTCTCTCTCTCTCTTCCACCTTTCACCATTTGGTAATTTCATTTTTATCCTCTCCCCCCTTTTCACTCTCTTCCACTTTCCTGACTGTCCTCGTTCGCTGCTTCCTTCCTCAGCTCACTTGCTTGCTTGTTCTCCTGCCGTGCCATTTTCTAATAGTAACAGTAGCTCACAATTGTTCCCAAAATAATGGGAAAAATTTGATCATATTAAAACTTATATTTCTTGGACGTCTAATATTTATATTATCCATACACATATACATATTATTTTGATACTTGTATGATTAATTGATATGATTGTGATAATAAAACTGTAACAGCTAACCATGCAATAAATTACTCCATTGTATAATTATTATAAGTTTTAAATAATTAATTTATAGATAACTAATAATTAGTTAAAAGTAATAAATATTTAAAAATATACTTTTATTTCTTAATGCCCCTTTGGTTCTTTTTATAAGGTTACAGAGAAGGTTTTTTTTTTTTGACAAGTCACCTCATTTAACATTTAGTAAAAATATATTATTTTGTCACTCATTTATATTTATTATAATGTAGATTGCTATTTTTTTAAAAGATGTACTTTTATGATCTATTTAGAAAGCATTTTAACATGTTTCAGGCAAATAAAAAAAAATCTTAAACCATATTAGCTTTTTATTAAATTTGAAATTTATAAATAGAATCAGAAAAGAAATTTTGAATTTTGAATTTAACTCATATTTATTAATTTTTTCTAAATTACCCCTATGGATACTCCCTCAATCATAATCAAGTAGAAAAGGGAGAAGAGGTATTAACAAAGATGATTTTGGTGTTTTAGGAAAAATATGTCATATTTTTTATAATTAACTAATTTACCTAACTTTATTGATCTAATCAAATTAGTTAAATGGGTCTTATATTAAGAACCGGGGAGTATTATTTTGATATGTGTATGATTTATTAATATGATTGTGATAATAAAACTGTAACAGTTAACCATGCAATAAATTACTCCATTGTATAATTATTATAAGTTTTAAATAATTCATTTATAGATAACTACTCCCTCTGTTCTTTATTATAAGAGATATTTGATGCTTATGGCATGTTCCCATATATAAGAGACACTTAAAAGTTGTCTTATTTTTTTGTATTGATTTCATATTTTACCCGTATTTATTTTATCTCCAACTCATACTCTCTCTCCTTATTAATGAGAGTATTGTTGGAAAACTTTATACTTTTTACACATTAATTGTCATTAACTATTTTTAATGTTTTTTTTATCAACGTAATTTAATTATTTGTCTTTTATAATAAAAAAGAAGGAGTAATAATTAGTTAAAAGTAATAAATATGTTAAAAATATACTTTTATTTCCTAATGCCCATTTGGTTCTATTTATAAGGTTACAGAGAAGGTTTTTTTTTTTTGACAAGTCACCTCATTTAACATTTAGTAAAAATATACTATTTTGTCACTCATTAATATTTATTATAACGTAGATTGCTATTTTTTTAAAAGATGTACTTCTATGATCCTATTTATAAAGTATTTTTAACATGTAAATAAAAAAATCTTAAACTATATTAGTTTTTTATTAAATTTGAAACTTATAAATAGAAACAGAAAAAAAAAAATTAATTTTGAATTTAACTCAGATTAAATTAGACTCATGTAATATGCAGCATCACATCACATTGTTTAGATTATATTAACTTACGAATGACGCCAAATTAATTTCAACTGATGACATATTAACAATAACAGTAGCAGAAATAATATGCACCATCACATCACATTATTAACACAATCATGCACCGTGGAATTTTTTTATTTTCATGAAGTATTTTTTTCACCCAAATAATATTTTTGTTGGAACTCATACATTTTTATTATTCCTTTACTTCTACATATTTTCAACCTAGTCTAAAAATCAGGAATGAGTAAAAAAAAAAATAGTTGCGCACAAAACATAATTTACCGTCTTATATAATCTCATTATTTATTTTTGTTCATACTATATTACGAAATGAAGGGAGAAACGACCAATGATTGATTAGATTAAATAGAAGAAATTGATAGAACTATAGTGTATTTAAAAAAAAAAAAAACGGGGGGAAAGAGGAGGAATGGAGAGTACCAAAAAGAAGGGGGCAAGGAAAGGCCCAAAATAAATGCAGGTAGCTTTTGGTTGGGGAAGGGGGTGTGATTGGCAAATCGCAAGAAATCCTGAGGCATTAAAATCCCGGTGGGGACAGGTGGCATGGCCACCTGAACCATTCTCCCATTGCAGAACCAATTCCCTACATCAACGGCTCTCCTCAATTCTCCACTCTTCCCTCCAACCAGTGGTCATGATTGTGTCTGCCGTGGGCCCCGCTCATCCTTATCCCAAACGACACTGAAATCTTTCCCCGTGCGATTCCCGCGAGAGGGGCATCAGTCATAAAATCCACCCCCTCCCTCCCAAAACTCTTTCCCCTACGTCGCTTTCTCCACCTTTTCTGCACCCTCGCCCTTTCTCTCGTGTCTCTGCCTCAATCTCCTCCGCATTGTCGAGCGTCGTTTAGCCCCTCCTCGGGCCGAATGCTTTCGCTTCCGCACGCGTGCCCTTCACTCCTCCAATAAAGAGCGTGCTGGCGAGTTCCGGTCGCCAATAATTGTATCCCCGCTTACGCTAAATCAGCACCCTCTCTGCCCCTAGTACTATCCCAATGCCTTCCAAATATTTTCTCGATCATCCCGCTGCTTCCTAACAACCAATGACTCCGTGTTTGAATTCTGTAAAACCAAAAAAAATTAATATAGTTTTTTTATATATAAAAAAATCCTAAAAAAATGACTATTAAATTTTAAAATTCTAAATTATTATTGATTATTAAACTTGTAAAGAAAATGACTACACTAAAAAAACAGTAACAACACATTTTTATAGTAATTCTTAATTTGTTATTTTAAAATTGAACAGTAATTTTTTTTTATTTTTCCTTTTAAATGTTGGAAAATGATAACCTCCGCTGATGTACTATCTTCTCTCTGTGTTGTGATTATAACATTTCATTTGTGATTCTGTTTATAATTTATAAACAGAATCTTATAATTAAGATCTAAGATAATACTTAAAGAGTAAGTATGAAGGGTCAATTTTTTTTTACTTTAGCTTCTTTTATTGGGAATTTTTTTGTGAAAAAATTAGTGATGGAAACATATTTTTATTTTATACCTAACTTCTTAAAAAATTAATGTTAAAATTATAAAAAGAAGGAAAGCTGTAATAATTTTTAAAAAATCGGATGATCATGTGTACTACAATATGGTTAGCAAAAAAAAAAATACTAGTAATCTGAAAAAACACTAGTAATTTGAAAAAATACGCAATCATTAAATAATAATTTTCAAATAAATCGCATTCTATTTTATTATAATTTTTTGGTCTAGATTTATGATTATAATAGCATGGCTCAATTTTTGAAATAAAAAATATGAATAAGTGATGCATAGTACTGGTAGCAAGGCGTTCGAATAAATACTATGTTTTTTTTCTTTTTGTTAAAGTATAGGTATCCTCTTATTAGAGGCAATCCTATTTGAGATACTATCGGGTACTAAATATAGACACCTCTCTCAGTAAGGATTTGAATATTAGTTTATCATATTATGAGAAATTAGTTCTTTCTGCTAGACCCAATCCTGTTAATAATACTGTGTTTAATGATAAGGTGGCATGAAAAGAGACGCCGAGGACGAGGAGGTCCATCATATGGAAGATCCTCTCAATTCTCAAACCCGGATTGTGGGTTTGGACCAATAGGCCAGCAGAGGCATGTTTAAATAAAAAAAAGATCCAAAGGGGAAAGGGGGGACAAGGGAGAGTGGAGTTCACGTGGGAAGAGGCGGGGGCTGCGGATTTGAGGGAAGCGTGGAAGAAAAACCTGTCCCTCACTCACGTGGACCAACATGCCTGCCTCCTCGACACGTGCTGTATCCCCTCGCTTGACCCCCCTCCCTCCCCAGTATAATCAATCTCTTCAACTCCCCCGGGCCCCACTCACTCCCTCCCCAAAACAAACTCCTCCGTGTCATCTTGTCCCTCGTCGCGCCGACATCTTCCTCCTCACAATCATTTGAACTCCCCTTCCCCCACCCCCTTCTCCCTCCCCACTCTCCCCTCTCCGCGTGAATCCCACCGCACTCAATCCCGCCCTTCACTCACATTCTCTCGCTCCCTCGTGGCCGCACTACCCTAAGCTATATCAGCCCCCACTCGCCCCTCCTCCTATCACGAACGCAGAATTTACGCTTTGCCTCCTTTGCCCCCGGCTCCTCCGCATAATTTGCAGGCAAGCCACTCCCCCGTGCATGATGAGAAAAAGTCTCCCAAGTCTCAACCCAGTCGATTATCTAATGATTGCGCATCCCCATGTTCCCAAATTGCCCTTCTCCTACCCTTAAAAAAAGCATGTTATATTGCTTTCACAGTACTATTGATTTGGCATTTAAAAAACAGGGTGATATTATAATGTGGGACAAAATGAGCCAAATTTCATGGGACGGTCACGCGGATTACTAACCACAGCGGAACAAAAATGGGGCGGTCAAAGCTGACTCCGATTCGTGTGAATCTAGTAAATAAATAATACTTCCGATTTTTAATATAAAAATTAATTGATCAATTTTAATAAATTAAAAAATTAATTAAGTTAGTTATCTATAATAAATTGATGTTATTTTTGAAAATATTTTTATTAATTAAATACATTGAATAGAGCTATTATTATTATTATAAGAATTAATTTAAAAAAATTAGTA